TCTGTCTCTGTCTGTCTCTGTCTGTCTCTCTCTGTCTCTCTCTCTGTCTCTCTCTGTCTGTCTGTCTGTCTGTCTGTCTGGCTGTCTGTCTGTCTGTCTGCAAGAAGTTTTCTGATGGCCTTGAATCTTGAACCTGCTTGTTTGCAACTGTTTGCAAACGCTTAAGAATTCAAAATTATGCTAAAGTTGTCTATCGCGCTTGTGTGTGTGTGTGCGTATGTTCACACCGACGCGGCGTCGCCGACGCGCATAAGCATGCATACAGTACATATATTTTTCATCATACCACAATATTACATGATTCAAAAAAAACTTTGCAGCAACCATCCAACAGCATCCAACAGCTGTGATGTTTTCTTTGTGCCCAGGGGACGCAGCACCAGAACCTTCCAGGATGTCTCGCAGCAAGCTCGAGCGACAAGCAATGAACCGACGGAGCAAAGAGGAGGCCGCCGCTTCATCCAGCACCAAGTGCGCGACCTGAAACAACAACAAACCCACAGGGAACCCTAAAAACAATGAGAGACAACGAAACAGAATGAGACAGCATGAGACATAATGAGAGACGATCGGCGATCGGAGATAGGATAGGCATGACTTGAATATCTTGAGTTGACGTTGAGGGTTTCAAGGTGCAATCCTGCTGAGTCTGCAGCCCAAGTTTATCTTCAAGAAGTCACTGGATGTCACAGGTACATAACACATCATAATCCTGCATCCTACATCCTCGTCCTACCTCGAATCATACAAACTATGCTATCTATGCATATCTATGCTAAATCGCACTTAGTTGGAAAGCCAAATCAGAGTTCCTGCATCGAAATCCCTGAAAGGCCAGGGGCGAAAGCTTCTGCGGCTGCCGCAGGTGTCAGTTCAGCTGCCGCAAATGCATCGACACAGCCACCAGCAACCTGCCAAAACCATACACGTCAATAGCACATTCAATATGAGCCAATGAGCATCAATGAGTACCTGATGAGATAATTGAGATACCGATGAACAAGGATGAACAAGGATGAACAAGGATGAACAAGGATGAACCAGGATGAACAAGGATGAGTACCCCCCTTCAAATTAGGGGGGAGGGGTCGCACCCGGCTTCTTCTAGCCATGAACCAGGGGGACTTCCAAAAACCCTACAAAAAGAGTTGGTTTTTGGGAATTTTGGCCCTTACAAAAAGCATAGGTTTTTAGCACCCACATTCGACTTCAAACACCTATACCATTTTATAAGGTGACAACTTTCTTCATGATATGAATGTTGTATCCTACTCGATGACCTTTTTATAAGAAGTTGTGATTTCAGATAGCGTTTTCGGGCATCATTTTGTAAGGAAACAACTTCTGGTTCCCTGTTTCTGGTTTTCCCGGACTCGTTGATTTTCAAGCAGCCTCTTTAATAAGGATTCCTTTTCTTTGCCACCTTTTATGTTGTATATTTTTGTATGTTTGCTTCTTTGGCCTCATTGCCTACCAGCCATTTGGATGTGTCAGGGCTGTGGGCTGGGTCCTTTTCGAAAATAGCCAAAACAGCTATCAAATGATTGAGGCGAACCAAAAACATGTACAAATCTGAACAATACTTTGTATCAATGCCTAAAAAGCATATATTCTTATAAAATGGTTCCTCTACTCTTGACGACATCTCCTTACAAAATGTCATTGCACACCCTGCTGAGTTTTTTGTTGTTTTGTTCAATAACAGCATCCTGAGCGTAAAAAAAGCATCAAAAAAACAAACTCGATGATCTTATAAAATGACTTGGCACCTCAAAACTCTTACAAAATGAACACTTGAAAATCTACAACTTTGCCTTTTGGGTGCCCTGTTAGAAAATGCCCGGTTATTATAACTACAAAATGCATCACAATGCCTATATATATATATACCATTTATATGGGGTCGACCCCTTCCTTTTCATAAGGGAAACTCGAAGGAGGGTGGATGAGTCAAATCATTAGTCAAATCATGAGCAACCCTTTGGATCCCAAAGATTCCTTGCGACCCTGCAATTCTGAGGCCTGCCGGGGCAAGGACCGAAAGGCTGCAGCTTGCTGTGCTATCAACCCTGCACCACTGAAGAGCTGGACTGGACCAGAGGTGATCAAATGCCCAAGTCCTACCATCATTTATCTTATACAATCTTACTGCAATCTTATACACGTGTCGCCAATATTTTGCAGTTGGGATCACGATTATACATCTTGATATGCGTGATATGATATATAACTTGATGATGCTGTTGCATGACGCTACACGATGTTACCTCATGCTATGTGTGTGTGTGTGTCTGTCTGTCTGCCTGTCTGCCTGTCTGTCTGCGGCTTGCCATGCCAGTTCCAGTCATGGCCCCTGGGCATGCTATAGCTACTATATAAGGCTATATAGCTGCTATTAGGAAATGCCTTGGATTTGGAGCATTTGGAGCATTTGGAGCATTTGGACCTTGTGGGTCAAAGCCCGGAAGACTCTCCACTCGCAAGCGCTCTTGGACCTGCAGTTTGGTCAACGGCTGGGACCTGGGATCACCTCAGAACACCTTTGGCACTTTGTGAAATTTTCTGAAAATGTGTGAAATACATGGATAAAAAGAAAACAACACGTGAAAGTACCTAAAACATCCTGAAACTGTAAAACTGGAAGCATGTAATTAGATCATATTAAAGCCAATGTCAAATAGTGTCAAAATGTGTCAACCATTGTCAAACGATAAAGCTCTGTGTTTCTTGTGTGTCTCACATCGCGGCCTGTGAGTGCAAGGCTGGCGCGTCCACTAGAGCCGCCTTCGCTGCCTTCACGAAATTCAGCTCTGCAACCAGGCCACGAACCTGAAAGACCGCAAGACCGCAAGACCAAAAGCACGTGCAGCATGATCAACAAGAAAAAACGAACATCAAAAACACACAAGAGAGCGCGTCGAAAAATAATCTGAAGACTGTCAGACTGAACACATGCGAAAACGTGCGAAGACAACTGCAATGCAACAGAAATGGAAGAAACGAGAAAACGTCAAGAAAGGTCAAACTGGTAAAACAGATTCAAAATACCGCGATTGCCTGAAATTGCCAAGGCATGCAAATTGTCAAAGCATGTTTTTTATTGCATTGCGCAAATCTCAACTCTGCGCCTTTTCCGGCATTTCCAGAAGCTCCATGACGTGCTCGCACAAGCTAAATTCGGTCTCTGGCTCCCACTGGTTATCTGTCAAACACCAGCACACCGCAAAAACGGAGATAGGTATACATGGAAGGAGATGAAAGGAGTGATGGATACACACTAGGGTAAATTGGGATGAATAATATTGAATAATTATTGAATAATGATGAATATGTATATTATATATATATGGGTCCGGAATTGGTGTGTTTTTTCCCGTTCTTTTTTTTGGATCTGCTGTTTTGTCCGTTTTCCTTGCAATTTGCAGCATTTTGGAGATGGAAGTTGCCATTTCAACGGAGTTGCAACATTTTGGATCTATGTAGGGTTTAGGGTTTCTTTAGGCGTGGTTTAAGATTTATGCAGGATCTATCTGGGGGAGGTTAAGATCTATTTAGGGCTGGTTTAGGGTTTTTTAAGTGCAAGTTTTGGATTTAGAGGTTATTTTTGGTGTTAGTTTGGTGTTTTCTTGTAGGGTTGGTTTCGGGTTTATTTAGGGTAAATTTCAATTTTTGGGGTAGGGTTTACTCGGAGTTGCTTTAGTTTTTTGGGGGTTGGTTTGGGGTGTGTTGAAAGTTAGTTGCAGAGAAGCAGAACAGTGGAGAAGCAGAGAAGCAAAAAATGATAAAAGCAGAAGCAGGGAAAAGTAGAAAAGCAGAAACGCAAAAAGCAGAGAAGCAGAACAGGAGAAAAGTAAAGGAGCGGGGAAACCGAAATCCAAAAAAAATGCCCAGAACAGAAAAAACTAATTCCCAAAAAAATCACCATCCTCTATATATGCACTATAATATTTCAAATTATGTTACTTTACATTACATTGTATGCTATTGTGTTTTTTTTAATTATATCATATATCATACAATATGATACTACTATACTTTATTGTTTTATACTATTTTGTATCCCCATTGTATCATATCCTATTCTGCTCTCTTGTTTCATACTACATACTATTATATTGCATTATACCATGTATTATTGTATTGTATTAAACTATATTCTATTTCTGTGATATTATATTATATTATACTATACTAGATTATCTCATATTGTTACTGTCCTGTATTATATTATATTAACCTATACTAAATTAAATGAAATTATTGTACTATATGATGTTAAACGATAGTAGTTGGTTTACGTTATACTATATCATATCAGGTTATATTTTATTGTATTATATTATGTTATATTATATTGACTCATGTTACATTATTTTATAATGACTTATGTTATACTATACTATATTAAATCATATTATATTAAATTCTACTATATTATATTAGAATGATTTTATGTTATATTATATTTTATTATATTGTATAAAATATGCGTATTAAACTGATTTATGCTATATATATATATACGTTATATTATATTTGGTTGATTTATCTTTAATTAAATTTGTTAAAATAATATAGCACTATATTGTATTAAATTAAACTATTTTATTTTTCTTCAATTTAATCATATTATATAAATATTATTAAATCACTCTGTTACATTATATTAAGCTATTGTATTAAATTACATCATTGTCGAAGGAAGTTTAGAAGTCAAACTTCCGACCATATGGACAGATGAAACGCAGAGATGGGAAGAGTCAGAGACAAGAAGGGAAAAAGAAAGAAGATCGAAAAAAGAGAAAGTCTCAGAAGAAAGAAGATCCAGGTGCGCGAAAAGGAAAGAGAGTCGCGAAACACTGTGTTTTTCCACTGATTTGTGGCTCCGGAGGGTCGAAAAGTTGGCTCGCTAAAGCGGCGGGTGCGGAGCCAGCTGGCCAGATGAGATGGAAAAATTGCACGTCGTTGTGGCGCGAAGCACATGTCCAAATGAAAAGCTAAAAGCACCTCACGTTCGGAGCACTTTTTGAAGTTGAGATGTCGAAAAAGTGCACGCCGTTGTGGTGCGAAGCACATGTCTAAGGTTGAAAAAGCTAAAAACACTTCACGTTCGGAGCACTTTCTGAAGTTGAGATGTCGAAAAACACCTCAGCTTCGGAGCACTTTTAGAAGTTGAGATGTCGCAAAAGTGCACGCTGTTGTGGCGCGAAGCACATTTCCAAGTCAAAAGTGCAAAAAAACTGACGGGTTCGGAGCGATTGTGCACCTTGTCAAAAGTGAGCAAAACGTGAGGGTTTTGTAGCATTTCCAAAAACGATGGCAGGCGTGGGACATTTGAAGAAGATCTGCAAAGATGCATTTTCCGTGGCAGCAAATGTAATGTAATGCAATGTAATGTAATTTTCACGAGGTTTGAAGACGAAACGTGAAGCTTCTGTTTTGTCTGCCAAAATCTGTCACTGTTGCGAAAACAAACGGCCACTCTGCCAAACCAACACCGACTGCCGACCTGGCTGTGGTGGTTTGCCTGCCAGCTCCCACCTTAGTAGGGAACTCCGGACGTTGCAATCGAGTGAAGGCTTCTCACCCAAGGAATGAATCTGCGTCGCTGCAGCCACGGTGGTAAAGCATGGTAAAGCCTCTTGGCAATCTAAACTGACAGAGCTGAAAAGAGCTCAATGCTGCTAGAAAACACAATCGCAACTGCAAATCCCAACTGCAAATCCCAACTGAAGCGAATTCACCTTCCAGACTGCTTTGGAATTCTTTTTCTAAGGACGGCACATGGTCGCTATTAGAGACTCAAGTTTTTCAGCACCGTGAGCAACCTGTACCGCACCTCAGCCAGGATTATCCAACTTATCCAACATGTTCATCTTGCAATTTATGCATTTTATGGTGTACCTCTCCAAATTCCCGTACTCTTGGCGGCAACTCAGCTTGAGCGTCTAAATATACAGTTTTTCACTGTTTTTCATGCCGTCTTTCGCTGATTAGGTTATTGTCAAATTTCCACATAACTTGCAAGTCTGAAATCCAACACTCTGACATACGGCAACGTGAAACGCAGGAACCTTGTGGAATCTGGTGGACCCAGCCACATGATGCCAAGTCAGGAACCATTGGTGATATTCGTGGATGCCACAGGATGCACTTCTTACTTCTTGACATTCTTGACTCACCAGATTTGAGCAGTCCCGTCATGTCTTGTGCTTGAGGATTGCCAAGCTACAATCTGACATTGCACGAATATGGTCAGAACTCTCCAACACACTTCGGTAGTGGTCCCCAACAAGCTCTCGAAGCTCTGTCTTCTTTGCTTCCACCTCGCGCGGGATACCGGGCTCAAACCATCACAAGCCCCGACACTGAGACCAGGAAGACTTTTATATACAGCTTTTTACAACCATGTGTGCTAAACCCAATTTTTGCCAAAGATTGAAATGGATTGAAATGGGATGTCTCCGGCAAGGTTACAAGTGGGCAGTCAACAAAAGCACATCTTTGCATCTGTATCTTGAAGAGGGATTGGATCGCATTGTCAAGTTGCCCAGCTTCATGAATCCCAAACATGATGAATCTGAATAGCCACTGGTCCAAGAAGCTCTGCATGCCCATAGCCTGTAAAATTCAAATGATGTACTGATGCATATGGGGATTGTCCAAAATTATGTTACTCGAAAACTGCCCTTACGCCACCCTTTCGAGAATCTTTCGCGCCCTTTCGCGCCCCAGCAGAATCGGGACATGGGACTACGATCCGGTTTTCGTTTATATATTTATAGGCTATAGGTTTATAAACTGGTTGGTGATTTTAACCACCTTGAAAAATATTAGTCAATGGGAAGGATTATCCCATATATTATGGAAAATAAAAAATGTTTGAAACCACCAACCAGTTTAAATAGTGGTATTCAGACCTTTCGCGAACCTTACGCCGCCCTTTCGCGGCCTTTCGCCACTGCAGCAAAACATACACATCCATATCTGCAGATGCCACTCGGATACTAAAAGCCTTGCATGGGTTTTAGGACGGCTCCCATATGTACTGATGCAATAGGTCGCCAAGGAAAGGACCTGGAATTGTATACACCAGGTGTACTGACACTTGTTGAATCCACCGCGTGCTTTTTGAAAAAAGGGGTTGCGTAAGGGTTGCCGTTGTTCACATGTCTTTGTCAAATTTCTCAACAGAACAATCTATTCTTCAACCAAAGCGGCACTTGTTCGGACATGATCCTGGCCGTCTTCGAGACATTGCCGTCCATTGTTGGTGGTTTTCTGGGAGCATGGCCATCATAGAACCAAAGCCATATTAAAACTGATTTGAGTAACAACACCCCAAAAACAACAGAGAAGTCAAACAAAGACGGTGACACCAAGGGGCAGCGGCTGCAACCTGTTTTCGCCATGCTTGAGCATGCTTGAGCCAAACAAGTAAATGGCAACATGTTGGCCCGTAAGGAAGGATGATTAAACAACTGAAAGAATGAATAAAGAATGGGTATAGGAAACCTCCATTTCTTTCAAGTCCCCCGTATCATGAACTGTACAGGGTCAAACATGAAATAGCATACTACCGAGGTTGATCAGGCCTACGGACGGATGCTAATTACTGTGTCTCACGGCTCGGTTGATGACTCCAGGCAAGGGATGTGATAATTCCATTAAGAAATCTTCCATGCCTGGCAATTTCTATCTGTGCACCTAGCGGATGCTTAATTACGGATGCATGAAATCCAATCTAATTACGGATGCATGAAGTCCAAAAGAATGTTGGCGCGGCGTCGGAGCAGCCAATCACCATTATGCGGGAAAAGGATTAAGGCAATCTGACGAATATCCTACGCGATCCTAAACGGATGTTTAATTACCAATGCATGAAATCCAACCGGATGCCGTGCAAGTATGAATTATCGATGCGCGGATGCAGGGGCGGCGCTGTCGCAGCCAACCTCCATTAGGCACGAATACAAGACTCGAAGATAAGACAATGAGAGTCCAATGACACATCCACAAGAAATGACTTACCAAAATCCAATGGATGAAAGTTCACAGATGAGACTTAGTCGCATCCATGCTGTGCTTACAGCGACTTTCTACACCCCGGCGGTGACAAATGGCAAAAGGTTGACACCTGAGAACTAACGGCGAATGACAGCTTAGCACATCATGCGCTCAAGTCCAATGGAGGATGGCAAAGCACAAGCCCATTGAACTGACAAAATTGACAGATTTAACCTTACAGGCTTAGCCTAAATACCGTTGAATGCTTAGCAGGATCAACGAGTTTGAAGACAATGAAATTCATGAATTGCCTCCATGATTGAAATCCTTAGGATTGACTTAACGCGGCTGAAACTATCTGAAACTGACGAGTGCGAGAGCGGAAGAACGACAAGATAAAGTCTAAAGACCATGCAACCACTGAGGCCTTGACGAAATGTTGAAATTAGACGATGACAAACGAGACAGGTAAAAATCCAAAAGCGGCAAAGAGGATCGGCAAAGCACAAAACTCCAATCCAACTAGGCTCGGCACAGCACAAACTTCATTGGATCCACCGGCTGAAAAACCAGAAGCTGAACGCCTTCCACGAGAAAATCCAAAAGCAGCCGAGAGAATCGGCAAACCACAACGCTCCTATCCAACTAAGCTCGGCACAGCACAAACTTCATGGGATTTGCTGACAATTGGATGGGTGAAACCCCCCTGATCCTCAGGAAGGTGAGAGAGCAGGCTCATGGAGATACTGGCATTTCTCTCCATGGACGCATCCGGTAGGCATCCTGTAGAAGATGCAGGCTGTTTTGGCCTTTTGCTCTGCTGTCATTGCTTTTCCCTTTCCCTTGGCCTTACCTTTTGGGGAGGTCTTCGATTCAGACGACGGAGCGATGGCAGCAGGCGCACGGGTGGGCTTGTCGGGCTGCAATTTCTTTGGCAAGCTGGACTTCAACAAGTTTTCAATTGATTGCGCGTTGATGTCCTCTCTTTCCTCAAGCAAGTGTTCCTGCAACCTATTCCAAAGGTGATCAAAGTCACGGAGTGACGACTGAGCATCGCTTCTCTTGATCTCATCAATGGTCCTTTCCAACTTGCGAACTTGCCTCAACCGATGAAACAACCACTCACCCATCATGCGCTGAGACGGCCAATCTCCCTGCGGCACACTATTCAAAGTGCGAAGGACACGACCTGAAAACTCTTGCAAATGCTTGGCACTGTAACCATCAAGCCCTATTTGAAAGATCGATTGCGAAGTAAGCAACGAACCACGAGTGCGATCAATGTCAAAATGCCTGGAAACAATGTGCAACAAGTATCTGCCCCTGGGAGGGTTTCCAATTCGAGCGCATCCTTCAATGTACCCCATCTTGCACTGCAACCCAGGCACATTTTCACAACCTTTTGAAATTTCAGCTGCCAACCAACGATCTAAACGCAGAACACAACCAGAATCATGCTTGATTACTTCATCGGAATTCACTTCATAAGCTTTGAAAAGCCAATGCGCTAAGTAATCCCTATTACTGATATCCAACTTTGCCATGATCAGCAACAACTGGTTTTTCCAAGCTCTGAAATCCGAAGCACTGGATGGAACCGGACCTAATGTATCCTAATGTGGCATACCGAAGCGAACGAGCATCCACAATGTCCCTCTCAACTAGATCCCTGTGACTGGTAAAACTTTGGGGCATGCGATCTCGAACTAATTCTTCATCTTCATCGTCAAAACCATCTCCGCCATCATTTGATGGAAACCCTGGCCCCCCTGATCCGGCAAGGTCTTGGAGGAAGACCAGAAGGCGGAAACGGAAAAGACACTGCCGCGCTATTATGGCTCTGAACATAAATCTCTTGAGCATCTTCAACCGCTGACATACGAGTCGAAAGATCTTGCAAAGCTTCCATCATGGATAGCAATTGCGCTGAAAAGGCCGGAGGAGGTGGAGCATCAGACCTGACTTGATCAACTGGTTGAGCGGAGCTTCGTGCAGCCAAACTCATCTCCATATCTTGACAGCGTTGACGAAGGGACAAGCTCTGAGCTTGAGATTCATCCAAAACCAAACGCTGGGAGTCGACCGAATCCTTCAGCTGGCGGATTTCATCCATCAGTCCTGAAATTTGGCCCTCTTTGTGGTCTTGGCGGAGCATTCAACTCTGCTACCCAATTCGTGATTCCGAGTAATTTGAAGCTTCGACTGACATTGGCCACTTCTGAATTTAATTGATGGATCTGATTTTAAAATCCTTGGTTTGATAGCTGAAGGCTCTCAACAACACCAAGCAACTCCTGAATACGTGAACAAGCCTGGCTGTACACATCTTGGGCTAAGCCTTCCAACCCCTTGAATCTTTCATCAGATTCCTGAACCACCCTCTTGGCCTCGGAGACCATGTTGGCAAAGTCCATGGGATCATCACCACCATTCACTTGCTGAGTGCGGTGATCATGATACTGGACCGTCTGTGAATGATGCATCCGGGCATCAGGCTGACCACTAGTCTCTTGGGGAATGAAAGTCGAAGGTTGGGAGGCCGATGTGGAACTATGCACAAGAGGAACTGGTGACATGGCACGCTCATGATCTGATGGCTTTGGCAAGCGCTTGATAACTTGAGAAACTTTTCGAGGCTGATTCACGGTTGAAACTTGTTTTGTTCTTGACGACCGTCCTCCGGATTTTGAAGTCCCGGATGAACTTCGGCTTCGAGATGAATGAACTGTGACTGCACCTCCCTTAACGTCGATGGACTCGGATGACAGGTTCAAGGATGAGGATTTTAGATCTGACATGATTCCTGTTCCTGCCTTTTACCAACGATTCACAGGTCACGGCCGACGCAACGACATGTGTGCCAGGTTTAAGGCACCTGGCAGCCTATGACATGAAATCCCCAAAAACGGTCAAACAAGAGCAAATGCGGCTGATAACCAATTGATTTGAGTAACAACACCCCAAAAACAACAGAGAAGTCAAACAAAGACGGTGACACCAAGGGGCAGCGGCGGCAACCTGTTTTCGCCATGCTTGAGCCAAACAAGTAAGTGGCAACATGTTGACCCGTAAGGAAGGATACTAAACAACTGAAAGAATGGGTATAGGAAACCTCCATTTCTTTCAAGTATTAAGGCTTGTTATAAGCTTGATTTAGCAGCTGCCCAGAGGTATGGCCAAGTTTGCCAAGCACGAGATGATTGGGTGCCAGTACCCGTTCCCCATTTCTATCTCGGGGTGCCACACAGGTGCCAGTCCCCTGAATATCCTGAATAAACGATTATGAAACTTGAGGAGAAACTGAAAGCTGGATTCATTGAGATTCATAGTCACTTGATTCAGAGTTGCTGGTGCAACTGTTGACCTTTTCCTTTCTGATCACACGCCAACTCAAGTCACTTCCGCGCCGACCCATTGAGCAATATCCGGTCAGAAAGGAAGGGAGATGAAAACGATGAAACAGATGAAATGCAGAAAGCATTAGATGAAGGACATGGCGCTTCAGTTCGGTCACGTCTCCTCCTGGGCTCCCACCTGCCAAGGAAGCTCCGGGCAAACAACAAGAGCTGTGCATCGATGCACCACCTTGCTACAACATCTACAACATAGTGCAACCATACACTACGAAAAACTTGTTTATCGAATCGGAATTGAGTGAGTAGAGCAATCCTACCACATACAGCCACGTCGAACCCTTGACTGTCTTGCGGCTTCAAGAACAGCGAAGCTGCTAAGCAAGAAATATTCGCAGATCTGGACACGCTCGAATGAAGCTATGGATCAGCAAATGAAGCAAATGATTCCGCAGTCTTGCCGTGCAGTCAAGCACGTCTTTGACTATATAAATATATAATACCTAATTTTATAATATATAATGATCATAGTGGAAGCTACCAACCGAGAGCACCACATGAATAGGGTCCACTTTGAATCACTTTGCGTATTGCACCCTGCGGTCTTCAAGGAGTCGAATTCGGAGCGCTTGTTGTATCAATCAAACTGTTTTTGCCGGGGCAAACTGTTAGGGGTGGAACTTCGCATACAAAAAAGAACTGGCAAATAATCAGGCCTTCTCGTTGCAGCATGTTGCAGCATCATACCCAAACGGCAAGGACTTGTTTTTTAGGGATTCCGCGGCAAACACAGGGTGGTTTTGAACACTGTTTGTAGCAGTCAAGAAGGACAAAGAAAACAAAAAAAAATGCACCAAAACATCAAACTTATAATTGGACACGGAACCCGGGTACAGCCAGTTTATTAAAAACATCTTTATAAAATGATGCCCCTCCTTATAAAATGGCAATTCCGGTATACCATCCTTATAAATTGGCAATTCTTTAAGGTTATAAAATTGCAATTCTAGTGTAGCGTTCAGCCAAACCGGAACCATATATAATTGCATTTTTTTATATCGCATCCAAAAGGGAGAACGCTCTGGTTCATAAACACATGTTTGACCCCTAAAAAAGTTGGTACCTTATAAGAACTCCCCAAAAAGCGGTACCTGGGTTCCGGTGGTTTATAAGGGATATTAAGAGGGGGATACCAAAACGAAACCCGGTGGATCATCTCCAAAGCCATCGTTGTGAGGCGGGCCAAAGTCACTGATGTTTGGAGACTGGCAAAGATCTGTTTCCCGAGACATACGTAATCGATCATTCTTGAACCAGCCATGGTTGGGATTGTTTTTGTTTTGAGCTGCCATGAGCTGCTAAACTTTCAGCTCAACTCAATTATGCTGGTAGTGATTAAGTTTTGCAAAATGGTTCCTGGGTGGCATTGCAGAACTGAACTTGCGTCTGACATTGTCTGACAATGTCGGACAATTGAAATTATGGCCTCGCCTGAGGGAGATCCGGTTTGGAATTACAGAGTTGGTTGTGGTCGAGCTTCGAATGATTAGCTTGGAGTCTCCAACACTTGCTGCTGCATAGAAAACAGTCGCTGCAAGAACCAGGAAGGCTCCCAGAATGTTTAGCGGCTCCAAATCCACCTCGCGGGACAACAAAACAGTGGGTTGCCGAAAATCCGCTCTAGATGCGCATACAATCGCACAATCACACGATATCACACGCACACATCTTCAAACGAGAAAACCTCAAATATCGTGTTATTCGCCCACTACTAGAATATGAATTGTCCGTAGAGACTTGTTGTTCATGCAAAAATGGTGATGACTACGTCGCAATTGTTGATGTCAAGCTCTACCTTGGTATTCCAACGGTAGTCCACTGAATCATGTTCAATATGTTTTAATTACTTTTGGTCCGAAGTCGGCTTCCTCCATGGGGAAAAAAAGTGGTGATACATGTCTCCCAACTCCATTCAATTCCAGCCTGAAGCTGGAAGATGGCATTGAGAATCCACTGGGGTATTATTTTGACACCTCCAATGATGCCCACTGTGGCCACCGATGTGAGGCTGGTAAGCCAAGTCAAGTTCACCTGACCACAGGTTTGCTTCCGCATGCCCAAGGCCCATTCACAAACAGCTCATTCCAATTTGCTTTGCAAACATTTTTAACTCTAGTCCAGTTTTGGAATATTTTGGAATCAGGAACGGAACCCCGAGAAGAACAAAAATGCGTGTTTCCGTGTTTTTCTGTTTCTCTCTGCCGACCTGAAAGATCAAGATGAAAACTCCTCCAAGCAGTACTAGAAGTACTCCAGCATCTGACTCTTCAGCAAGCGCTTTCCACCAAGAGCTCTGGAGTTTGGTGCCCCTTTCGCAAAGCATCGCAAGCACCAGCGCCGTTAGAGCACTGAGAGCAAGTTTCATGGCAGTGAACTCCACCACCGAAATGCTGCCTGCCAACCGATTGTCGGACCGGAAGAGCTCTTGAGCTCCCATGCGCAAAGTTGAAAGACACAGCGCCAAGATCAGAGGAGGCAACAGATTCACCTAGATTTCGACTTGGGAACACGACATCGAAAATTCTAGGAACAAAGAATGACCAATGACCGCTGGATACAAATCACATCAATCTACGCATGCCATTCAAGACTAATCTAGCTCCGTATGTACCTACATTCCGGCATCCACCTATATTTTTCTATCTGCATTCTCATGAGTACTATATAGTACATCAGTACATCATAAATCTATCTGCATGTTCATTTTGCGTAGCATATCTATCCCCACCGACCGGTCTATCAATGTCTATCTATACCTGTCTCTGATTATATAGCAGTCTACACTCACCTTGATTCGTCTGTAGACATCTATCTGCATCATCCACATCTGTCTGCATCTATCTTCATCGATCATCATCTACATCTACCTTTATCTAGCGGCTTCTACAGTTCATCCATCCGCAACTACATCTACTGTATCTAAATGCATCAATACATCTATCATCTGTCTACATCTATGACATCTATCATCATCTATCTACCTCTATCTAATTCTACCCGTCTATCTGAATCAACCTACACATCTATGTACATCTGCCAAATCATTCCAAAATGTCTTGGCAGTATGGAGCACAACTAATGCACAAGACACATAAAAGATCATAAAAGATCATAAAAACTCACTCACATCACGCAGGGTCACTAGAATTGGCATCAGCGGCGTCTCCAAAGTGTCCACGGCATGTAAGCCAATAAGAAACGATCCTGTCCCTGACAAAAACGCCGCTAGGATTTCAACTACTCCCAGGTCTTCTCCGTTGACGTACTCTGCTAATATAATTGCCCAAACGATCTCAGTGGACTGAAGCAACAAGTGCATACCTGGATTGCATATGATTGCATATGATTGCATGGATACTGAATCTCCTTACAATTGAAAGTGCTGAAAAAGGAAGCTCGATCAAGAAAGAGTGCCTTCGCTTCAATTTTCACGGCGTTTAACGATATCAAAGGAAAAGCAGGACTAATCCAGACTTGAGCAAGGGACCTACAGGAAGAATTTGTAAGCCCCAATTAGTGACGCCGTACTTAAAGCCAAACAGCAGCCCAACAGGCCCAACATGCCGGAGCTTGTACAGTGGATGCGGGCCAAAAATCCAGGACTGATCTGGCTCCCAAAGGTGGCCCACGATATTCGCTGCTGTCAACACCAATGAAACCAGGGACAGCTGGAGAAATGCGGTTGCCATTGGAAACGGGTACTTTCGCAGGCATGCTTTTCCATCGCAAACCCCCTCTGCAAAGACAAGCTTGTTGTAAATCGGCACAGCTGATACAGACAAACAAAAGATCACAGTGGCGGTGCTGACCTTCAGTCTCCAAACCACATTGCTTCTGCTTTTGCCAGCATCCGGCAACACCGAGGGTGATATCATCCCATCGTACTCACAGCACTTGCAGGCATGTGTGAATCGGGGAAAGGTATTGAGTCTTGAGTAAAGATAGTAAAGTTAAGCAACCACAAGACTGCCCCTGTCATGGTCTGGATAGCTTTCCTTCAACCGCATCGGCCTGCCACAAAAGCAAGAAAAGAATAGTGCACAAGAACACTCCTTGATGATAGGCTTGGCATTGGTGTGTCTGCTTGAGACTTTGGCTAAGATTTGAAGCCGACACAGCCACGATGTTTGAATGTATGTGAATGGACTCCGAGCTTTCGGGCATCTCCGTCAGGATCTAATTACACCACCGTAGACCCCAAACAGTGGGTGGATTCAAGAAGTGTTTTGAGAAACAGGGTCAAACACATGAAATAGCAGCAACAGGAATCGCGAAAATGTCTACAAAACAGGGAAGAGTGCGAAGACTGGGAAAACCTACCGATAATATCACGGACCTATCCTACCTGCTCTGGCATCTCAATTCCCTGAGTTCGTCTACTCTACTCCTGCAGGATAACGCTTTATGTTGATTATGTTGATGGTTGATATTGTTGTCCACAACGCAAGTCTGCTCGCCCTTACATGCTGAACCGCTGGAAGAAACAAACCGACAAGCCTTGCTTCTTGGAATGAGATTGTTATCCACGTATTCATTCACTGCCTTAATTACCATTGATCCAACCCGCAAAAATTGCCAAACTGCAATGCCAACTGTTTGAATTGGGCATCGCTGGGTCATATAGCTGTATGACCCGCTCATGCCAGCACGTCACTGGCCACAAACAGCTAACATTACAATGTATTACAATTGTATCAATTACTGTATTACAATTAAATAATCTGTGGGCTTGCTCCAAATAATCTGTGCTCATTCAACTCGTTCAACTAGGCCAAAGTCATCCCTACTGCTGGGAGCAAAATAGACCAGCTATCAACAGCTTGATACGAGTCATAAAGGCACCTAGCTTGCCACATCCAAGCAAGCCTGCGCCCGTGTGTTTTGCAGAATGCCATGGATTTCTTGCAGGCTTTTCCTGGCTTGGCACAAATTCAAAGTAGTTTGCCAATCGTGCGGTGAAGAACCTTCACAATTGACCAGCGCAACCCTACTCACCCAAGCAGCACATTCCCCATATCTCTCTGTGTGACAACATCTTCCAAAACGAATTCTCAATTCTCACATGCCAAGTAGCTGTCGGAACAAATCATCAACCGCTCCAGCATCCTGCCGAACCATCTTTAGAATGCCATGGGGCACGTTGCGGTACGCTGTCCAACACTAAATCAAACACTAGCAAAGTCTGAGCCAAGAGGATCAGCAAAAATTGCAAAATCAGGGTCAGCTGCAATCTGGACCAAACCAGCCACAAGTATCGATATCATTAGGGCGTATAAAGATATATAAAGCCATCAACCTCGCAACATCTTGCAAAGTTTGACTGCTCCCAGCCGGACCAGTCTCTCTTCGAAGACTACCTTGCCTGATCATGGCTCCATACAAGAAGCCCGTGTTATATGTTCATATTGGCCAACTGAAGCATAGCGGCATTACATTTACATTCATAGCGTGGCGGCAGCCCACGTCCAAGTGCGACACTGGAATATCTCGTGATCGATGCATTTTCATCCTGCGTGCAGGCTCGCAGACCTCGCAAGTCAAGTTTTAAAATGGGCAGCGGTCTGTTCTGCGATGTCCTTCAAGCCTAGAAGGCTTCTCTCTTGCCTGCGTTCACTAGCAATATGTCGCAACCAATTTCAACTCAACAGAATGCTTCTGTGCTTGGCATGATCTCATACTATCCTGTGTTGCACCGTAGAATGTTACTGTTTTGAAAAGGGTCCCCATCATAGTCTGTGTGGCTTATCCGATTGTAAATGATTTCGTTCGACCTGAACAACCAGCGCTGTCTAGGACGTCCGACTCAATGTTTACCAATATTGATGGGTTCAGCGCTATTGATATGAGACTGGTCTGAGAAGGTCAGAATTTGGCGGACGTTAAATGTGTCCAGCCAACCTTGAAATATCTCAAACAATCACAGTTCTTTGACGTGCACGTGAACACATGCACTGCACTCGGCCGCTATGCAAACTTTTCATCCTCTGGAGACGTGGGTGATTGAGGATGAAGATGGGTGGATCAGCCCATCAGATCAATGCTGGGGGATCGACCCCAAATGAATAAAAACATAAACATCACAAGTGCAAACAAGGAGTAGATCAACTCCTTCAGCACGAATAAATAAAACCTCACCACAGAATGATCTCTGTCTGACCCATCACAAGTGCAGCCGAGAAGTGAATCGACTCCGTCGGCACAAATAAATAAAACCTCACACAGAATGACCTCTATCTGACTCGAGGTGATCACCTCGGATAAAAGATAATGTCAAAATATGAACTGTGCTCAGGTGAAATCAGATCGGCTTTCTCCGGAGCAGATCACTGCGCATCAGTGAAAAAGGAACGATCTCAGGAGGCACCTCCGACCCTCACAATGGTAAATACTGAACCATCATGGGGCTAGAGGTGGGCGGGACAATTCCCAAAAGAGATCGCTGATCAGATCTTGAGCCAAAATGGCACCAAGATCTGATCAGTGCCAATGACTCAAACGGGGTTGATCAACCCCACACTCTGTGATCACAATAAATGAATTCTCAAAATTCTCATCACTGAACCCGAACGGGTAAATGAAAATAAAATAAGATCAAACGCAACCAGTGCCACGAACTGTAACATTGATCCACTTATCCCTCACCAACCAACCGTAGATAAGTGACCCAATCACAGTTCTTTGACGCGCACGTGAACACATGCACTGCACTCGGCCGCTATGCAAACTTTTCATCCTCTGGAGACGTGGGTGATTGAGGATGAAGATGGGTGGATCAGCCCATCAGATCAATGCTGGGGGATCGACCCCAAATGAATAAAAACATAAACATCACAAGTGCAAACAAGGAGTAGATCAACTCCTTCAGCACGAATAAATAAAACCTCACCACAGAATGATCTCTGTCTGACCCACGCCGCCTAGAGATCAGGAAAAACCGCTGGTATCGTATCCCATCCTAGAGACTGACCTATGTCTAATCTGCCACGAGATGGTGGATCAGCGGGATTGGAATCCGTTGGAACTCGATCGATGTAGAGATTAATGCGAACATCAAGAGCTAATCTCCAGAAAACTCCTACTAATTCGCAAAGATCTTCACGAGCGGAGTAACCCTTCACTAACGCGCCTTGAACAGATTCGGAATCCACAAAGAGCAAGGACCAAGAGCCGGAGATCCAAGGCTTGAAGGTCTGGAGCGCCACGACCGTAGCGAAGAGTTCGACCATAGCGATCTGTGACTTCCGCGGGATCCACTTCTCGATCAAGTCCATGCCCACTATGCATCCGAACTGGATCGGTCTAGCACCTTTCTTGAACAACACGCCGCCAATCCAAGGATCTTGCAATTCACTCTTCTGATCAGGGAAACTGCCATCTGTAAAAATGACGTAGTCAGCGGGTCGAGCGCCCGATGCAGTAATAGGTCTCGGAGGCCCATGATCAATCAGCAGCTCCCACTGTTTCAGCGCGAGCTTCAGCGCAATGTTGAGACCAGTCTTTGGGGATCTCGTATACTGCCTCTCCGAGAGAGCTCTCAGAAAGGCCCTGCCGATCTTCCCCCACAACTGCGAAGCGCCAAACATGAGCTTGCCGCGCAATTTGCCTGCTTGTCCAGGCGACAATATCTCGGAGGAGACGATAGACTTGATCTCGTCCAGCAGCTCCTCCTTTCGTGAAGGTTTGATCCTCAAGCACATAGCTTTCAGATCGTAGGTCACCCCCAAGATCGTCGGGTCCTCGCAGAGCTGGAGCTTCTTGGGGTCGAACCTGGCACCTAGCCACCAGTGAACCTTCTGAGCGATCTCGAAGGCTGAAGAGCAAGTGACTTCGGTTTCGAACCCGTACTTATCATCGTAGAAGTTGAACGCCGCCACGAAAAAGACCCGACGTAAAATGTCGGTAATGGCCGCAGATCTACGATTGTAGTTGTAGACCGCCGCCACCAAACCAAAAGAATGACCGATCATGACGAAGAAGGAGATCTTCCCCGTGTCAGGTTCGCGAAGCGAGATCACGCTCCATCTCCGGTGATCAGGGTGGATAGGAATCTGGCGGTAAGCTTTTCTCTCGTCCAGAACCCAGCCTTGCAGCTTTGTAGAGCTAGAGCACGAAGACCTCATCCACCTCAGCGCAGACACGTTCGCATCTGTAGATGGCAGCTCAATCTTTTCCAGGATCCTGGAAGCCGTGTTGATGCCATTGATCGTGGCACTGTCCACTCCTCTGACCTTGTTCTTCTGCACCACTTCGAACCACTGAGTAGGGATCCAATTGTCAGTGCCGAGGAACTTGTCGACCTCGTCTTTAGAGAAGAAAGGACCTGCTGTAACACCTTCTCGAACATCTTCCATAGTCGCCTCCCAGATCTTGGAGGTGTTCTCTGTGACTTCCGATCTTTTCACGTTCCGCAAGACCTTGTTGGAAAACTCCCAGGCCCTCGAAACAAGATCTCGTTCTGGAAGAGCATCATCTGGCAGCGGCGATCGCGGCCAACGAAACGAGCGCTTGATGTCGCCGACGATGGAGAAGCCATTGGTCATCTCGTCCACCAAAGAGCTGTCAATACAGCGACTGGCAGCGAGCAGCTATCGCCACAGGGCGACATGCGTGACCGTGCCAAGCTGAACAGGTTGGTCATCGGGTACCCCGCGCAGTAGCGACCGCAGGTAGGGATCCTGGACAGCACGGAGCTCCAGATCCGTGAGCGGCAGAAGACGCTCAGCCCGAGCAGCCCAGAACTGTAAAGCACCTTGCCGATGACCAAGCAGTTGATGAGGCTTGTGCACGACGAACGCCAGAGCCTCTTGAAGATCGGGATCAAGCGCTGGATCCAAAGTGAAAGGATGGGGAACTTGTAAAGCTTGTTGAACAGCTTGACCAGGTTCCATCTCAACCTGCAAGATTGGCGGTAGAGCCGAACGCTTGAGCTGGTATCCTGCATCACGTGCTTTCTCTGCTGTCGCGCGTTGCTTGTGCACGACCCATGGCAGCGGCTGGCCGAGCGGCCGTTTCCGTTCATGAGCTGGCACGGCCATCTTAAAAGTGGCAGCCAGCGGATCAGCCTGCAGAGATGCGATCACCTTTGCCCATGCTTGACATAGAAGCGTGGGGTAGACCTGAGCCAACTTGGTTTTGAAAATCTTCTTGCCCTTGGACATGACCATGCCCACTAAGGGTTCGTGAACATGAGGCCGCGCGTCTCGATCACAGGAGAGCGCCAGCGCACTGAGGTCGCAATCAGACAAGAGCGCTGTAGGCTTCTTGTGTTTGGATTGGAACCTGCACATGTCCAGATTGAACCGGCCCACTCCATCGCGAGCGGCCAGAGAGGGAACTGGTGGCATGTCCCACAAGTAAGACGTTGCCGGGTTCTCCAGCGACCAATGGACGCCAAACTGGCAACATAAAACCAAGAGCTTCGCAGTGAGGTCCATGAACTGGTTACCAAGCTCGACTTTTGCTTGATCCTGCTGAGATAGTGCTGGACGCCCCCACAGGTTGTGTCGATCACGCAACGGTGGGGGGCCGCCATCATCTTTGCGAGCTGGGCTGAAAGAAGAGCAGGGTGTGCCAAAATGAATAAAGAAAATGCACCCTGCTTGAATTAACTTGCACAAATGTTGAAAAACTTTGGGATCCAAAATATCAACCTCTTCGACGACAAAATTGTTGGCCAAGATCTCAATAGGGGGCAGGGTCTTAATGCCACGAGCAATGATGGCTTGTGTCAGCCCTGCCTCTCCTGGGAAGACCTCGACGAAAAACTGCGTGCCGGATGGCACAAAACCGGAGCCCCAGAAAGGTGAAGGAAAAACATTCGAGCAGGATTTGCTGTCAACCGTCTCTACCTCATCCAATGGAGCCATTGGTTGATCACCAGATCAGTGATTGCCTACCATGGAGTGAGCGGAGCCGCAGACCATGCACCGGTGCTTGAACCTGCACTTGTCGCCCAGGGAGCATCCCATGGTGGAGTTGAAATAGTGACATCGCTTTGGGCCAGTCACTGAGCTAGCGGCTTGCACGATCGCTTTCCACTCTGTGTCTGGGATCCGCTTGTCCTTGCTGACCTTCTCGTCTCTTGTTGAGGCTGACTTTTTGTCAGCTGGATCTTTCTTGACTTTGGAATCCTTGGCTTCACGGAGGAGCGCCTTGTTGCGGAGCCGCTGGCGCTTCTTTCGCTCCTTGTTGGGAGAGCTCTTGGGCGCCGCCTCGACGACCTTGTCTTGCACGTCGCCGGTCTCGCTGGCTTCCTCTCTGCGCCGATCGACTTTGGAAAGAACTGCCTTGGTTCGGGCGTCGTTCCAAAGGTACTTGTGGTTGTTCAGGACCTCAATGATGGCGTCCTCGAACGTGCCATAAAGTTGGCGCTGCTCAGCTTGCAATCTATTGACCTTCTTCCTGATCAAGGAGTCTGCAGCCAAAAGGTAAGGCAGTCCCGGGCACTCCGAGCGAAATTGCTCGAGCTCCTGCATGTAGCGCAGTGGGCCAGCCGCACGAGAATAGGTGCAAATGTTGAGATATTCCAAGGCCATGAAAAAGGCATGGATCCTGTTCATCATGGTCGTAGAATCAGTGACCTGATCAGGTTCATCCGCCTTGGATATCGTCAAAAGATCCTCTGCGTTCTTGGAGAGCCCAGACTTCTGCACTATGCTGTCGGCACGTGTCCGGATCTCGGCCACAGAGTAGTACGGCACCATGCCGTGAACCAAGAAATCGCGGCTGAGCTTCTCCACGAACTTTTTGTGGGGCTCCTTAGCGTCCAGCAAAATGACATCTGGATGGGCTTGAACAAACCGCGCTCGGAACTCAGCATGATCTTCTTGCGCCATCTCCGGAACCTTGTTTGGGTCCTCTTCCATGCGCGCACGCCGAGTGGCGAACTGCCCTTGAAGAGCGTGACATGCATGCCATACTGCTGCGAGCTGCATCAGTGCTAGCTCTCTGGCAGCATCTGTCGTGCCGAGATCTGCCTCGGCGATCATTGTCCTGAGGGAGGTTTTCACTGCCTGTGCAGTGTCTCCCAGCATTGCAAAGATTTCCACAGAGAGCAGCCCGCCGTCTGCTGCCGACCGGCACAGAGCCTGCGGCAAGCCCATGCGCCCAAAAATCTGCCTGAGCGCGATCTTGGGCGTGTGAGCATCATCAGCGTAGACGGTCCGATCGACCATGTTGGGCACTTGAACCCCTGACAAAAGAAAGATCCCTCGGCAGAGCACATGGTACAGGCGTGATCAACCCGACTGTGTGCAACATGCCAAGGAACCCATACCCGATCGACGTCGGCCAAAAAAAGCCGCAAATGTGATCGAAAATCCTGAAGTTAAATCAAATGAGTATACATAATAAAAATAAAGCCTCACTGTGGATCCCAATGAAAAACGATCGCAAGGGCGGCCCATAAATTGGTGGCTGCCTCCCAGCTTTTCCTTGCCCGCGACCTATTTCAAATCTGAGCCTTGCTACGGCACAACTGGCAGATCATGCCAGGCGCATGGCTACCGACTGAGACGGCATCACGTATCTTCAGTCTGCCACAAACGGAACTATCTTCAGATTCCCTACGATCAAAAATGTGGCACCTAAAATCAGCTGATACCAGAGCTTTCTCTGGCAAAGTCGCCTTGACGATGAACTCAGTCACGATCGGCTCCGTGACCTCCTCGTCTTCTTCTTCGATGACGAACTTCTCAGGGTCTGGGAGCCATGCGTCCTTGAGCTTGCTCGCCATCTGCTTGACCATGGCCACTGAGAGCTCCTTGCGCTGCCGGGCATACTGTACTTCAGGACCAATTGGCTCGGATCCCTCCAATTGGATTGCAAGCCGACGATCTTGTCGTCAACATTCGCCTTCACCGCCTCCGACAGCATAGTGACTCTCATAGAGTGCCAAGTGATCACCTGGATGCTTCCTTCCAGCTGATCAACTTCATTGGCTGCCACATAGCCGAGCTTGGTTGCTTCTGCAAGGCCTAGGAGCATAAAGTGCTTGAGCCAAGCCAACCCTCTCGAGTATGAAATAGGAGCAGCAGAGAACTCTTTCTCATTCTTGATTTCCCAAATAAAATAATCCCTCTCCGAGATGAACGGCTGGAAGATCTTCCACCCTTCTTCGAGCCAGGCATGGTCTGACATAGAGCATGCGGGCACTGCGAATCTTGTGCCTCGCTTCTTCCTTTCGACCTTGGTCTGCCACACCACACCCCGGAGAGCGTCCTGGTCCATCTGAAGTGATAGTGGGGCCACATGGATCCCGTCGTCGAACCTGAGCGACGCATAGATCAGGATGAGCACCCACCACACGAAGATCGCTGCTGCGTCCTTCTTCTCCTTGATGAGCTTAATGCAAAGGAGCTCTAGGGCAAGAACCATCTTCGGCGGCACTGGGACCGCCTCTTTGAGCTCCTTGCCCCGCAAATTGTAGACCTCGTCAATGACGGCTTTGAGCTGCGGATCTGACATGTTCGGGGTCTGCATGACGAGCCTCTTGCACCCCAGTGCGTATACCTGAACGCAGGCAGAATGGAAGGACCGCACCCCTGATCGCGCAGGTGCAGTGCATATCTCATGACTGCAACGATCGTGGGCGGGTACACACGTAGTCCGTGGCCGATCGACCACTCTTCAAACTTCTCCCAATAGCGAACATTCTGTCTTATGGTGCGGAAACCGCCTGCCTCAAATGCCAAACTCTTGAGGCGAGCTGCCTCAGCCGGCAACAGGCCAGTGCATCGCTTCGCATCGTTGAGCCCAGAGGCTGCTCCTGCGCGCTCGCAGATCTTCTGGAGCCTGAGCCCCCACTTCTTCCTTTCGGAAGCCTCGACCACCTGGATAGATGGAACTTCCTCGGCAGGACCCTGACCTGAAGGTCTGGCTCCGACTACCAGAGGAGCTGGCGTAGGAAGCGGGCTGGCCACAGGCTTACGCTTTGCGCCGATCGACGCCGGCTCAGCGTACCCATAGCCCAAATCAACCGCTATCTCATGGCGGATCTTCTCCGTCGATCTGGACACCATAGAGGCCAAGACGTTGACCATATCCAGCCGACTAAGAATCTGATCCATCACTTCTTGTTTTTGGGTCAGAGCAGACAAGATTAGGCACAGCTTGTGATCTGCTGTATCCCCATCCCCTTCATCTGCTAGCGACAGCCATAGCTCTATACGATCTAAGTTGAGCTCAGCTAAAACCGACCTAAAAACATCATCAAAGAGGGGCAAACAAAGAAACCGGTGGATCGACCGATCCATCTTGAGCAACTGAGGCCCCGGGAGCGATCGCCCACAGCCCGTGCATGATCAGCACTGGGGATCTGACCTGCAGTGCCGGTCGATGGGAGGATCTACCCCAAACGACCAACCCGCTGGCTGTTGGCAAAGGATCTCATCGGGACTACTCGGGGATATGATCGATCCCAATAGTGAACCCCGACGAGGAACCTAATGAACCAACAACATAACATCATCAAGGGCACATGAACAGCCCTATGAAATAAACATCCATGAAATCAAATAAATATCATCATCAAAATCATCGACATGAGGATCAGATCAATCATACAACGTGGACTCTCGTGTGATCAACTTAAGAACACATGGTCTGAATAAAAAGGATCCAAACAATTCCTACCCCCCAACCATGTTAACCCCAAGACGTGTAATAACCTATAACCCTGATCAGGGGGATCAACCTAATCTGGGCAGAGGTTATAACACACAAGAAAAGGGGAATCATGAGCCTAGGGGGGTGGAATAGACCGGACCTAAGGGAAATCAAATGGTGGAAAATCACATAAAACTTAAAAATAAATCCCTGAACCGCGTATTTTGGGTGATCACCCAACGAACAAGGCTCCTGGAAGTGCTGTCGGTTTTTGATCAAAAACCAAACATGGGGTAATGCCGTGAAAGTGCAATGATCACAAAGAAAAGAACCTGCCGTGGACCCAGAGCACAACGAACAAAAGTGATCCCCACTGGCATGTTCGATCGAGGTGCCACCGGGTTCATACAGCTGGCTGTGATCTTTTTGCCGCACACTCGATTTAAAAGGAGCCCGTCACGCGGGAGGCGATCTGCCATGTTGCAGATCTGCACATGGAAAATAAAGGAAAAATTCACAATGATCTGACCTACTCCACGGTGACCTCCGCCTCGACCTTCTGGCCCGTCTGAGCCGGTGGACCGAACGACTGGGGAGCTGTGGTCGGTGCTGCTTGATCACTGCATTCCGTAGACCCAACTGCAGGAGCGCTGTGGGGCACTTTGCTAAGAGCTGGGCGATCTGCCACCGCATCTTCCACCACGTTCTCTTTGACCCAAGCCGGCCAGTCTTCTGGTGGAGTGGGAGGATCTGCATCCACCTCTTCGATCGTCGCCGTAGAGAAATTGTACGATCGCCTGGAGATCTCCTGATGAAACAACTTGGACGTGAGCTGGGCTGTGGATCTTGCAAACCTGCGATCGCAACGGGCACGATCTCGTTCTGCATCCACAACGTGACCACGCTTCCCTTCTTGAGGATGTTTGGTTGCAAAGGACCTGAAGTTGAGCTCGTAGTTGGCTTGCTGCCGAACTGGCACGATCTCTTCTGATCCCTTGGAGCCGCTGACCATGTTGGCGACCATCTCGGCCGAGCTCAACCATGCCTCCCCTGTCAAAGAGGGGGGACCCGCGGGAGCTTTCACAGCCTCGTCATGCTGCATCTCTGCCAGAGCTTTGGTTGGCACGACCTCTGGATCACGCACCAACAACTTTGATCGAGCCTGCACGTGGAAGTTGCCCTCCTCCATGCCGGGGATGAACACCACCATGCTGCCCACCTGATCCTCGCTGTTGGCGATCGACGATTCCCACCAAGTCTGATGAATGGCGGCGAGCTGCGCGAACTGCTCGGTCTGCTCGGGACCTTCAACTCGAGCACGATTCTCCCTCACCGACTGGATGGTCTTGATCAGAGTCGGTCCGGAGATGTGTGACACGGTGAGCCATGTCCCCGGGACCGAAGTTCTGGAGCACTTCAGGTCTATCCTGTTGTTGGAGTCCCTGAACCGGAACTCCACGCGATCGGCGTCATTGCCAACTGCGTCTGCTGTAGACCTTGAACAACACCGAAGCTCAAACCGAGATCGGGCAGAGTCGCCTGCGACCACGGAGCCATGGGGTCCCACAGAGTAAGTGCGACCACCGCACTCAAAACTCAGAACAGACACCCTATAGCCGATGAACACGGCGATCACCACCGAGAGCCTTGGCTTGCCTTGCTTCACTTCTCTGATCAAATACTCATCAACGAACTGTTGCTGAACTGTCAGATCTGTGTCTGATCTGAAGCCCCTGAAGATCCAATGGAACAGGATCTCATTCCCGTTGTAGATCTTCACGTCCGTGTAGCTGGCCGAGGTGTCCCTGAGCATAGGCCACGTGAAAGGCTGAAAAGCCTGATGTGACAGAGCTGATGCTGTCTCTCCATCCCATCCAGCGCACGTGGTGCCAGTCTCACTCTCGAGCGAGAGCGCCAAAACCACCTTGATCCCGTCCAGTGTATAGTTGGCGAATAGAGCCACTGAAAAGCCTGAACTAGGCGGCATCACTTGGTCTCTCTCCGTGAGAACATTGATGGAGCTGGCAGCGTTAGACATGATCTCTGAAACAAGCCAAGCCTGAAAAGGCGACACCATCCTGTCATCGCGGTTGTCAACGACCACGATCGAGGTGTCCTCAGGGAACTTCTGGCCCTCGTAGATCGGCACGAGGAACCTCGGCATCTTGACCTCGTAGGGATTGTGGGCGCTGTTGGTAGATCTTCCGTAGCTTCGCCCCCACTGATCGTCTTGGGAGCCCCATCCACCGTCAGAGCCGCGAGCGCCACGATAGCTCGGCATGGCAAAAGAGCCGGTAGAAGGGTTGACCACCCAGGCCCACAATTCCCAAAAGAGATCACTGATCAGATCTTGAGCCAAAATGGCACCAAGATCTGATCAGTGCCAATGACTCAAACGGGGTTGATCAACCCCACACTCTGTGATCACAATAAATGAATTCTCAAAATTCTCATCACTGAACCCGAACGGGTAAATGAAAATAAAATAAGATCAAACGCAACCAGTGCCACGAACTGTAACATTGATCCACTTATCCCTCACCAACCAACCGTAGATAAGTGACCCCATCTCAAACCTCTAAATATCTCCAAATGAAAAGATATGAAAAGATGTTAGCTGAATATTGCTGAATTGAATCTAAATTGAATATCTATATAAATGGTGCCGCAGGCTTGGCCCAGAAATGTCCAGAACGCCCAGTGCCGTTCTGAAGAGCAAACGCGCGTGGAGCCTTCGGGTTGACCTCACAGGCCGAGTCAGTTGACATCCGGTACCAACGACTCAACTTGCTCAACATGGATACAGCATGATACAGCACGATACAGCATCCAAACAGCATCCAAACATTCCAACATATTCCAACCATTCCAAACATGTACGCATTTTTTCGCATTATGGCACGACAAGGGAATAATGTGTCGTTGGAGCCTGCCCATCATTATAACAGTCCATTTGAGCATCACTTGTTATCACATGACTTGTCGCATAATCACTTGATCACCTCTAGATACCCTTCGTGCACTTGCAAACTCGTCCCATTTGAGCCGAATACTCATCTGCCATGAGCTGTGAGCAGAACTACTCATTCTGCATTTGACTGCTCAGAGATGCTCAGAGCACCAAAAGGATCAAAGCAGAAGGCCGGCCGCGACAATTTCCCTGCTCTGAGATGGTCCAGACGTGTCTGGACCTATCAATTGTTGTACGTATCAGGCTGTCTATCAGCTATAATATGCTGGCCATGTCTTTGCGTCTTGCAGCTGCCCTCGTGAGAACCAAATGGAAAGCCAACTTTAGATCCTCAGGTTCAGCTTAAAACCCTACTGCATCTTAAAACCATTTAAAACCCAATCATTCAGAGGAAGAAATTTTGGGGTTCTCATTCTGACAGTGCCATCAAGTCAGTCAATGAAAACTACCGATGTCATAAGTATATATAAGTATCATCCTGTCAAGCTGCGGGTGAGCAAATGACCGTGAGCATACATGCCATGAGATGCAATGGCCTGCTTGAATGATGCTTGCAAAAGAGTCTGCTGCAAGTAGCCTGCAAGTGTCTGGCACGAAAATCAAGGGGTTCCACTTTTTGCCAAACGCTTTCATCCAAAGCTGAGGTGAATTTGACCTTCCCGCTGAGATTCGCATGTCGCCAGCCAAAGCAAGCAAACATAGTGGAACAACATGGAACAACTTGTTTGTTGATGTTTGTTGCATCATCGTCAAACAAACAATTTGTATCCCGATTTCAGCCCTAGGTTTTTGCTACGCGAAAATCATCAAAAGGTGAAGGAGCGCTCGCACGACAAGTCGCCATCATCAGTGCATACGTCACTTGAGTCGGCGCATTGGTAGCAAAACATGCAAAACCAAAGTGTTGAGTGTTGAGACAATGCATGGGTCTGGGGAGAAATTTTGCAACAGGATGCTGGAGCTTCACGCCTTTGTTCCCAAAACTGTTTTGGCAGAGCTACCAGGCAGGAATGGCCACTTGATGCTACTTGCATGAATTAAATGCAGACTTGATGGGCGACCCCTTCGTCAATGACGGCAGAAACAGCTGCATGCATATGTGCAGAGATGTGCAGAGTGTCCAGGTCTATGGGTAAAATATGATTAAAACTTAAAACATGTCAAGAGACATATGAGACATGCAACAAGGATATGAAGGTAGCCCAGAAATCCACAACTTGCAACTAACAAGAGCAACGTAGTCCTCTGCCGCTAACTGATGCACAATTGAACTCACATCGACAGAAGCTGGCCACCAACACCTCCGGCAACTAAATGCCGCGCGTATGTTGACAATGCTAAGAGTTGCTGCAAAGGTCTACAGCTGCAACCCTCAGTTGCAAGGTTCATGTTCCAACAAGTTCCAACACGTTCCAACACGTTCCAACACGTTCCAACACGTTCCAACACGTTCCAACACGTTCCAACACGTTCCAACACGTTCCAACACATTCCAACACGTTCCAACACGTTCCAACACGTTCCAACACGTTGATCGTTCATGTCCTGACCCTCTTGAAGCTGCAACTGCCCACCTTCAAGTGGCCGTCCGCAAGGCTGAGAGTCCTGTCTGGACAAATCCCCCGGGAGTGGCAAGAAGTGGTTGCATCAGAACCACTCTTTACATCTCTTTACCAAATCTTCCCACCTGAACAAAGGATTAATAGAAACAGGTGACATACATGTGACTTCCAACTTACCATACCTTGAAGCTATGCCTTTCATTCTAATAGTTCAATCAGACTGCAATCCGTTCAAAACAGGGTCATTCTTTGTCTGCCACGACCCTCTATGCCAGAAAAATCTGGAATCCAAGAATGAGGACGACTCTCCACCATTGTTGGTGGACTACTTTGGCCGTCTGCACCGTAATTTCTTCTGTCTCCAGATCGTCAAAACTGGGGGAAAAAACTAAGATCATCTACAGTAAGATCCCAGAACCAAAGTCTTTGAGAAATTTGAGAAAGTGGCTGGACGTGCATCGAATATATCGAATCTTGGGCACGTCTAAGCTCTCCATGCGCTCCATGCTCTCCATGCTCTCCTCTACTTCTCCAAGGAGCTCTTTTCGCTGCTCTGTCAAGGTTGCCTCAGGTGCAGGACACGGCAGGGGGCAAGTCGGGCAAGTCCTGATTTTCAGGACCCTTGTTGCGTTCCTCTGCCGTGCCCCCATTGCTAAGCCAAACAGCTTTAGGGCTGCAGCTATGACTGCTTCGTGGTCATAGCTGGAGGCCTGCCAGAAACTCTCAGCTAACTGCAGAGCACTACTGGGTTTGCTATAGGATTGAATGGAAGCCGCAAAGGAACCAAAAAAATCCATGAGTTTTGTCTTAAATCTTCCAATGTCGCTCCTGCTCGTTTGGCGTGTAGCGTCCACCTATGGCAGCAGATGCAGCAGAATGCAACGTCAAATCTGGGTTTTGAACAGCTTCAAATGTTTGATAAGCTCCCGGGAAATTTCGAGATCTCATGAACTTTCACCTCCAGGCTCCAAGGCCCTAAGAATCCCTAAGATACCCTAAGGCACCGACCACTGAGAATCTGCACAAGCATCATGCTGTCTACCATCTGACCTGAAATTAGGATAAACTAGGTACGGCAGAATTTGAGCAAAAAGGATCGAAAAGTATCAAGAGAAACTGGCGATACTGCAGAATCGACAACACCTTTGAACCGACTGCAATCGACCGCATGGACACTGGGTGTCCAGGCCGATACTTTCCACACTGCGCAAACGGGAGTCCAAGCGTTGCCCAGTCAGCAACACCAAGCCGCAATCCTAAGCTGATGTCAAAAGATGCTGCGTCACGCTGTTTTTTAAATTTAACAGGATTCAATAGGTGCGTATTTTCTTCTCTATGTACCTGTTTCTTGGTCGGCACATTTGTTGAAGGTATGGATGCCAAACATTGTGAGACTGTCAGATCTATCAGAATTTGCGTGTCTCATCGTGTCTGTGTCTCAATTTCTCCCTTTTTCCGCCACTTTTTCAGCGCAATGCCAGCAGTCAAGCCAATGCCTCGCAGGACCAAGGCCCCAGATCTACTGAGATGTCCCATGTAGTAACCCTGACCACACGAGGGAACACCGAAAAGGATCGAAGAGGTATTCAAACATAACCAAACAGGTCTAAACCATATCAGATCATATCAAATCATATCAAACATCTCGAACGAATTCAAATATTTCAAATGAAAGGATCATCACAAATCGTCTTACTTCCGCGTCTAGATAAAGAAATGATGAAATAATTCAACAGTATAAGTATGTATAAGTAGTATATAATATCGACATAGAGAGTGGGGAGTATTGCTTACACCGAGTTGCTTTGGGTGTGCATCGTGTGATATCTTGTGCAGTAAAACGCACAGCTCAACAGGTCCTTTTGCTCGGATTTCGAACTGACAATGCTCGCGGACTCTGAAAGTAATTCTCGGATCCTTTCAGATTGTTTTTTCCATCGTTTTTTCCATCAACTATCATACTCTTTCATAACTATCCCAGTTTGCAAACCGATCTTTTGGGGCACCGGATATCTCGCAGTCAGCTACGTTCTTTACCATTGATTGCTGCAGAATTGTCTCCTCTCACAAATTTCAATCATGCTAAAAAATTGCCCAGTGGCTAAACCCTACTATATATACGTACATACGCATGTACGTATGTACGTATGTACGTACGTAAGTACGTACGTACGTATGTATGCATGTAGAAGAGAACAAAATGAGTTGAATTAGACTAGAATAAAACAACAAGAGAATATAATCAGAATATACGGTAACTAGACTGCAATGGAACACAAAGCTACTTCTTCAATTCAACTAACTAGACCAGAATAGATTCAATAGATTGCATTGTAGTATGTAAGATTATGCAAGCATATAATACCACATAATGTCACGCGTCCACAATAAATATAGATGTATAGAAAAAAATGCATGACATTGCATGACAAATTTGTTGTTCATTTGCGTGTACACACACATATTATATATATATAAACATATACTCTGTACATCCAAGGAAGGGCTGACAGTCTTAGTTCCAAATTTAGGAACCCGACCTGAGACATTCAGATTCTAGGCCACTCGTGTGCCTGCTCCAACTCTTGTGGGTCCAAGGGCTGAGGGCACATACAAAATGATACAAATTCACAAATGCCTTCAAAAAAGCAACGTGCGGTATCATTAAGTTATACTAAATTATATCATTTCTCTCCCCGACGTTGGCTCAGAATAGGTGCCTGACATCCAGTTGTGCTAGATTGCACTGCTCTGGCTTGACCTGCTGGAGCAAAGGGGCAAGCAGCTCTGGCGTCAACTCCTCTGGACCAGGGATTGTCCTTGGAGCGTGGAAGTCTCGGTCGGAAATTTGAAAGGCAAATGACCCAGGCCCAACTGACTATCTGTGACTAGCTGAAACTCAGAATCTTGGTTTCCCCAGAAGCCACTTGGGCCACTTAGGCAACCTGCAATCAAGCAAGGCACGGCAATCCTGCATTCCTCAGCTGATGGGTGGTTGCACTGGGAAATTGATGTGAATGAAAGCTTTGGAATTTGAGCGGTCACTGACCCACTCTGAATGTCACTCAATGGTGAACACCATTCATAGTCCTAGTCTTTCATAGTCATGGTCAGTTGTGACACTAGATTGTGGTTTCTTAATACTTAGATTGTGGCTTCTTAATACTTAGGGACATACGCACAATGTGCGTGTTTCTCGCACTGTTTATCCGACTCTATCTCTCTCTCTTTCTCCCTCTCTGTCTCTCTCTCTCTCTCTCTCACTCTCTCTCTCTCTCTCTATCTATCTGTCTGTCTGTCTGTCTGTCTGTCTATCTATCTATCTATCTATCTATCTCTCTCTCTCTATCTCTCTCTCTCTATCTCTCTCTATCTCTCTCTATCTCTCTATCTATCTATCTATCTATCTATCTCTCTATCTATCTCTCTCTCTCTATCTCTCTCTCTCTCTCTATCTCTCTCTCTCTCTCTCTATCTATCTATCTATCTATCTAACGCCGCCGAGAGGCGTGTACAGGCGATCATCAAAGCATGGGTCTGCCACAACGAGAGGCACGGTCCCAACCTGCCCAAAGCTACGACGCCTGTACTGCAAATATTTGCAATATCGTGTCAATGCATGTTCCATCATTTTCCTATCCCAGAACCTTGGACATCTTCAACCTGTTCAGAACATTTCGCAACGGCACATTTCATCATGCCAAGTCACCGCCAGAGCTTGCCACGTTCGATAGCAATCATGACCTGCCATGCGGGCTTTTCTGCGAACCATCTCTCAAAACAATGTAGAGATATGATGAAATATGTAGAGTGTAGATCCAAGCTAACAAAGTTCATGAAAGCATGGAAGCGGTCACATCTGCAGCTTGTTGATCAATGATCTGTTTCGAAAATTGGGGAATGTATGAGAATGTTGCCCTTCTGGAGGGAGCAAGTCCGGCCACATCTAGTTGACCCGGAGGATCAACATGACTGTGCCTCTGCCAGGAGGAGACAACACAGTCTGATGCTCGGCCATCAGTGCTAGAAAACCAGCGAAATCCAGCCTGACGTGACATGTGCACTCTCATGTTTTAAAGAAACATGATCCTGAGCTGCAAGATTCTGTTTCCATCGAAGAGCCTGGTTGTGACCACCCGAACCAGGGCGCCAAATTCCTTGGATGTGGTTGCGGCCTATATGAAGCGATCCATATTTTAGACTACACAAACCATCACTTCTCCCATTTGGATCTGCGGAATTCTGCGGAGACATATAAAACACGTGGCTTCTCGAAGTGCCGTGGTTTAAATCGGTGGTAAACAAGATGCAGCCCACGAACCCGAATGCTCACACATATTTTCATGGTACAGAGGAAATGCAATCACGCAGAACACTTTTCTGAAACATTTTATTTAAACAGTCTTGTACACTTGGAGTGTAAAGTGTAAAGTGTGAAGTCTAGAGCGTAAAGTGTAAAGTGTGGAGTGTGGATTGTGTAGCAAAAAGTGTAAAGTGCAAAGTGTGGAGTGTAAGGTGCAGAGTCTGGAGCGTAAAGTGTGGAATGTGGAGTCTAGAGTGTAGAGTGCGGAGCGTAAAGTGCGCAAAGTGTGGAGTGTAGAGTGTAAGGTGTAGAGTGTGGAGTGTGAAGTACGGAGTGTGAAGTGTAAAGTGTAAAGTGTAGATTGTGGAGTGTAAAGTGTAAAGTGTGGAGTGTGGAGTGTAAAGTGCGGAGTGTGGAGTGTAAGGTGTGGAGTGCAAAGTGTAGTGTAAAGTGTGGAGGGTGAAGTGTAAAGTGTGGAGTGTAAAGTGTAGAGTGAGGAGTGTGGAGTGCAAAGTGTGGAGTGTAAAGTGTGGAGTGTAAAGTGTAAAGTGTAAAGTGTAGGATGTGGAGTGTAGAGTGTAAAGTGTGGAATGTAAAGTGCAGAGTGTGAAGTGTAAAGGGTGGAGTGTGGAGTGTGGAGTGTAGAGCACGCAATGCGACACGTCTGAAGTGCTGCGCCTGCCACGCAAAATGACAACAGAGATCTCCAAAATGCTGCGCCTGCCACGAAAACTGCAACTCCTCTTGTGAACACGACGCAAAAGTACCGCGCCTGCCACACAAAACGACTTTCGACACGTTATCAAACAGGTTGGAATGTCACAAAGTGCCGCGCCTGCCACGCAAAACGACATGACAACCTGCTTGGAAACCTTCGAAAAGGAGAGGTTTTGCAGCTTCCCCGATAAACAGACACGGCGAGGCCACATGAAGCCCCAGGAAAACCATGACTTGAGATGAGACACGTGGGAGCATCAAAACGAGCATTTCGTGCGAGACTTCCTCCAATGTTCACACTTTGTAGCTTCAAAATCGACGTTTTCATACGAGTTTTCGTGGGAGCCACTAAATTTGCTACCTCAAAATCGATGTTTCGTGCGAATCTCACAAAATGCCACGCCTGCCACGGAATTTGCACCTTGTCGCCACTTGACACAGCCCTGACATGCGATTCGCAAAAAACACGCAACAAGACACGTCTCAAGTGCAGCGCCTGCCACGCAAAATGACGATGGACACGTCCGAAGTGCTGCGCCTGCCACGAAAACTGCAACGCATCTTGCAAAAACGTCGCAAAAGTATTGCGCCTGCCACACAAAACGACTTTCGACACGTTACAAAACACGTCTGAATGTCACCAAGTGCCACGCCTGCCACGCGAAACGAAGCAACGCGACGTTTGAAACCTCCAAAAATGACCCCTTCTGCAGAACTTACCATAGGCACGGCCATACGGCCATCATGCGAACGCTTGCGAAGGGTTGCAAAAGGTTGCGGACGGTTGCGGACGGTTCGGCAACGTCGAGCGAACACACCCTCAACCCCCAGACCCCCAGAGTGAAACGGGAACCCTTGCTACGCATTCGGGGAAAAGTCCTGACTAAGTATCCTTTCTAGAGCTGCAAGTAGGCAGCGCAGGTATCCTCGCCATGCATTGTTTTCTGCGTACTCACTGCTTCTAGTTTCTTGATCAATTTTAGCAAATATGTGTGTTTGCGGACAAAGAAATTCCTTTGGCCCGTTTCGCACATGCCGAATTCAGACCACTTCAAGGATGCAAAGAAACATCTGGCATGAGAATTCCACATCCTCCCGCATTCAACCAAGTGGCTGGCGAAGACAGTCGCTCCTCAGGCAAAAAAAGGCCCCCCCGATTCGTCAAATACACTACTTGGTCACTACTTGGTCACTACTCGGTCACTACTCAATGGTCAAACTGCATGCGAGCAAGCCACTAAATACCTTTCACGCAAGCGGTTCGCCTGCAAGTCAGACAACACTGTGAAACCTATGACTATGCCCAGCTCGTAATAAATTATATGTGCCAGGGAGAGCCTGCATAGGAGTTACCAAAAGACGCTGGCTGCGCAAATTCCAGGGAGTTGCTTTCGCACGGCACTGCTGGATCCTGAGAAACAACTCCAAGCATTCAAAGACGTGTCAATCACACCTTGATTTGCATGTTTTCCATTTTTTGTCAAAGGCATACAAGAATTCAGTCAACCCCTTAACTCAAAGTGGGAGCATTGATCTGATAGAATGAATAAAATGTTGCATTGATGCCAAGTAAAAGCAGTCATGAAGACCACTTGCCAATAATTGAAAGTGATTGACGGATCAAATGAGACAAAACAAATCCAAGACGGCTTCAGCGCGCCAGCGACGCAATGTCATAAGGCTATTTGAAAAATTACTCCGGCAAGAGACCCTAAACAGTTTGGGGGGTAGGAAGCCAATGTACCAGAGATCAGAGCTACCAAGACTTGCCAGCAAGACTATACCAAAAGTGTTGCAGGGTATGTTGAATAATGGCAAGCCTACAGATTGTGTGTGTCTCTTCCATGACATCTTGGAGTTGAATTTTGCCTACGGTCCCAAAAGGTAGTTTGGACCAGCGTTTGCTTTCAACAAGTTTGCTGGCAAACATGTTGAATAACGATCGTAGATAATGATTGTCACAGTTTTGCGTGTGTTTGGATGTTTGTTGAATTTGATTTGTTGGTGCGTGGTGTCTGTGTTGTCTTGTAACTGTTTTGCTCGGTTTCCTGTTTTGCTCGTTTGAGATTGTTTTGATTTTTTTCCTGGCTAGGCTACGGCTTGGGAGTACTGACGTGAAAGACCGACAAGGTCAAGACTCAAAGATTCAGCTTCGCTTGCAGCGCGAAGGTTGCCACGATGAAGGCCGTCACAATGATGTGGCAGGCCGATGGGTAGCGGGACAAACCGTGCCTTAGTTGCTACATAGGATGTCAACCAAAGCAACGAGTACACACATGTACACACCACACGCATGCACAAGCACATGACAGCACATATCAGCACATGTATTCATGATCATTCATGCAAATGTGCAAATCTAGGCAACGTGAGAGAGAGAGAGAGAGCGAGAGAGAGAGAGAGAGAGAAGAGAGAGAGAGAGAGGGAGATTGATGTGAATTTGGAGCATGCCCTATTTGTGCATGCTACAAGTACGGGCATGTGTGTCAATCTCTGGCAAGTTGGTTTGATGCAATTGATGCACATACTGTATGTACGTAAGTTTTGATGATGAACAACAAGCATGAAATCACGAGAGTGCAACGACATATTTGTTTTTGCTGGTGCTGTAGTCAGGTAGTCAGGTAGTCAGTCATTCAGTGAGTCAGTGAGTCAGTGAGTCAGTCAGTCAGTCAGTCAGACGATGTTGGGGGATTAGTCAGCTAGGTAGTTGGCGCACCTCTCCAGCGCTGTCAGCAAAGTACAGTAGTTCCCCACGGTGGGGAGGTGCGAAACAGACAGGCAGACACGTTCAGTTTGAGCGAAGCATGTAAGTCAGCCCCCGCAACAAGTTCATGTCTATCGGTGCACGATAATATTGTGTATATATATGTGTGTGTGTGCAAATCATTACATGCCTATGTAATCCTATGTATGCATATATGCATTACATACATAATGCATCATATTTTGTACGTATTCATCCATTATGTATATATATATATAATGCCGGAATTTCTTCATGTTGAATACATGCATGTATGCATGACTCTCTATCATTCACCTATTGGTGGAGAACAGCGCAAACCCCTGTATTATCAGCAGTAACTCCACCATCCAATGTCATAAGCAAATCTTCACATGCACAGTAAGCATTGTTTTGTGAGAAGGCCAGCGAAAGTCTGGAACTGCAGCACCGGGTGCAGAAAAAAAAACGACAAAGTGAAGCAAATGTTGCTTGCCAATAAAGCGCATGCGGTGCAAACAAAGCACGTCCACTGCTTTGTGAAGATTCATTGCAAAACATGCCTCCACAACCGCACCAGGTCCCGGGTTTGGAAGCAAGACGTCGACTATCACCAGCTGCAAAACTTGTACAAGTACCACTATATATAGTTCTATGCATGGAGTGCATTCGGCATAATCAAAGCTCTGAGTGGCATGATGAACCCTGCCTATCTTCCCACGCAACAGTTCTGATATCGAGGGCACCGAACAAATTATATATATATTATAGATAGATGGCATTCGTTCATATTATTTCATCTCGCACACCTTGTCCAAATATCATGACTCAATTCTTAAAAGAACTGTTGACACGTGCTGGGCGCCGTTAGTCTACTTGGTTGCCCTTCAAAGCCTTCTGTAGTTTCGGTCTCCCTGGCCTCAAGCCCGGGCAACTTGCCAATAATGCTTTGCTGGTCAACGGTGACAGGCGCATCCCCTCCATTTACCTCAGAGACATCACCTGCAACGTTCCTTTGGAGCACTGCATTTTGTCTGCCTGAATCCCTCCTTGCATCTAGGTGACTACCACTAAAATGAACTCCCCTGTCACAGTCTGTGCCTGGGATTTTTGCTTGTTGCCAATGTTTATGGATGCAAGCAATTGCCAAGGACATTCAACAAGCCACATGATTGTGAATGAGAGTGTGCGCACTGCTGGATGGAAATCTGAACTACGAAAGGCTGCCAAGGATGCGAGTGTTCCATTTTGACTTTCTGCGTAGCCCTTCAATGCGATATGTTGTTCAATTCTGCGCAATTCTGCTACCCGGTTACCTTTTTCATGGAGTCATGTGGAGTTATTGGCCAAGCTTCGAAGCCTTCCACAAAGCCACCCAGGTATGGTTTCTCGACACAAATCACCGCAGGATGTGGGGCTAAATGTAGCAGCTCCCCACAACCTGAAGAAAGCTGCTGCAGAAAACCGATGTACATAGTACATCGGTTTAGAACTAGCACGAGCTAGCATGAACTTGCAAGGACTGGCATGAACAAGCAATAGGTATGTCTTAGGCAATGTCAGTAAACCTTGGCAAGCCTCAGGGAATGTATCGAGATAGGACGTTTAAAGATATGCTAAGATCCACTGCCATGCCTGAGTGCACATGTTTGCGTCTACAAGTATTCGCATGTATGCGCACACAGTGGAAGAATATATGTGATATACATATGTATGTATGTGTGTATGTGTGTATGTGTGTGTATGTTGATAAGTATTGATGTGTGTCCTCCGGGGCACGTACGTGTTCAAACATCACACAAGTAGAATGAGAAAAAAAAACTGTGTAGTCAGATGGTTTCAAGATGCACCGGAGCAACACCACCTATCACACTACCACCATGCACAACAACAACAACAACAACAACAACACCAACAGCAGCAGCAGCAGCAGCGGCAGCGGCAGCAGCAGCAGCAGCAGCAGAGCAAGCGGGCGACATTCTGGGCAACACCAACAAGCCTTGGGGGCATAGCTGGGGTGCGAAGCCCTACAATTGTCTTTGTGAACTTTGCAAACATATAGAGCTTACTGTAGGTTGAGGCACAACCATGTTGGGTGCAGATAGGTTCATTCAATGTTGTTAAAGTGTTCCTATATGTTCCTACTTACAAGTTCTATTTTTGGATCTTGGTTTTGTTGTAAACATGATCGCTGTCCTTTTATATTGGAGCTAATTAATGCTTATTCGTTGTCTGTCCAGTTGCAGCATACCGCCAAGAAACCACAAAAGCCAAAAAGAACAAGAAGCCAAAAACAAAAAAGGCCAATAAAAGCCAAGAAGCTAAGAAGCTGAGGAAACACAAAGCCACAAAAGCCAGAAAAGCAACAAAATCCACAGAAACAAAAAAAGAAAGCAGCCTCAAAAAAAAAGGGATTGAAACAAATGGTCCTCAAACTGGGCAATGTGCGGAGCATGCAACTGCTTGTGATGGTAATTTGTTGCAACGGTAATGGCCACCTGTTTCCACTTGTTTCTAAGGCACAGCGACTGCTGCACTTTTTTGACAAGGCACGGCGGCCAAGCTGAGTAGCAAAGACTGGCCTTTGTGCAAGCCACGGGCGCAAAGGAGTGACCCGGCCCGACTATCTGCTTCACAAATTTTCAAAAAATATGAAGCCCAAATAAGACCAACAAGACCAATAACACCAAATAGCACAAGAAGATGTGAAGTCAAGGTAAATACATGAACGAAAACAACAGTTCAAAAGAAATCAGTCCCGGAAATGCAGTTGCAAATTGATGCTGTGATACCCTGCAATAATAATGCTATGATTCTATATGATTCTATGATTGTTTTCCTTCCTCTGAAGTAAGGCATGCACCTCTGAACCGGATGGATCTCTCTATATCTTCTCAACCGGGGCATGCAAGACCAAAGACTAGAATGGGCCAGGAAGGTGCAGGAGGAAATCCTGAGTAACGTGAGCAATCAACACTCGTAGTCAACAAATTCTTTGATAGGCGACACGTGAAGAATTCTTTGCGGCAGGCCTGCGTGATTCTCTACAGTTCTACATCTTGATTAGCCTAGACACTTGATTCTCAAGCTTCTCTGGCAATCCGAGCAGCATTCCAGCAGACATGGCTCTTTGATGCCATCTCTCGTCATAATACCATGGCACCTTCATTCACAAGTCAAGCAGCAAGCCGGGAGCACACTTTCATAGTGATAGCATCCTCTGAGAAAGATGTGCCACTGGAAGTGTGTTGTCATGATCTACACACCTTACTCAGCCGCACCCTGGAAAAAATGTAGCTTCAAAATGCTTCAAAATGCTTCAAATTCAAAATGTTTTTTATCTGTGTTGATTTTGGTTTGGATCTCAGTCTGCGTTGGTGTTTTGACCGGATCAGACCTCGAAGAGCCCAGGTGGCTCTGGCAGGTCGGAGGTCAAAGGCATCGATGAGCCTGAATCTTTTTGATCTGGGCTGAATTCAGGAAATACATGGAAATACAATTAAGGCAAACTGTGAAATCTGAACAATCCGATATCGGTGAATAATATGCGAATAATGAAACCAAAACGCATCAAAACGCACTGACTCATAGCCCGCGAAACTGCGCATAATTGCGGATAGTTATCATGCTTGTTCTTTGAGGACAAAAACAGGTCAAACTCACGCCAAGAGACAAACGGCTGGCATCCTTGGATTGGGAGACAAACATGAAGAAAGGATAAGAAAGGGGGGTCGTGTCGCTTGTTTGGGACGCATGAACAGCGTGCGCCTTTTAATTACTCAAAGCACCCCAGCACTAGCAGCTCGAGGCCTTCGTGCAAATCTCAAGTAAAAACTGTCTACGCGCGATTTTGGCGCTGCCCGCTCAATGTTCCTTCCACTTTGTTTCAAGCATCGACTTCTCCGGCGCATTTGGCTTCTGCAGGCCGCTTTCTTTGGCCTTCGAATTGACCGTTCCGTAATTCACAAAATCCCAGAATTCATTTAGCACGTTCGAAACATCTCAAAACTCTAGGGTTAGGGATGGTTTGATATTGAATGTGTCGAGCCTTTGATTCCCGCGTCTGCCAGGCCCTCCAAGCCCTATCAAATCGCTCTGCAGCATCCTGAAGATTTGGGGATACATGGGGATACAAAGTGTAACAAAATGGAAGTAGAAACATTTTAGCATTTCAAGAAACTGCATATGATATTGCATAATAATCAGAGTTAATCAGTCAAAGGCGCAATGCCGAAGTCTGCACAATATTCAGGCAAAGCAAGCTTGACGATGCTGCACCCTGACGTTACCAAGGCCTGCGTCAAAGTGTCAATATGTTGCTTCGAGCCTCAAGCTCTCACAGAGTCCCCCACCACGTTGCACACGTTTGCATCTGCCAAGTCCATCCAAATACCAAAAACATCCAAAAACTGATGGCCGTCAAATCCACTTTGAGGCCCCCACATGCACTATCCGAGCACAGTTGACCACTTCGTGGATCATGATGGAAGCAAATATCTTTCACCTTTGCCATTCAGATGCTATTCTGTGCATGCATTCGTTGTCTTCAATAGTGTCGACATTCCTTCGATCAAAACCAAAATCCTTTCCTTCCAACACCCACAACCTTCATCGACCTTCATCGACCTTCATCGACCTTCATGGTCTTGTCATGGTCTTGTCATGGTCTTGTTTCACATAATGGTCCTGTCATCTCCTGTCCCTGTGGCCCTGTGGCCTTCGCAGCCCCTCGGAAATGGCGAGGACCCCGAAGTGCCATCCCGCCATTGAACACATTGAAAAGGTCACATGGAAGGTGCAGTTTGTCGCTGACTGGGCAAGATCCCAGCAGGATTGATGTTTTTTTGAGTTGCGCATTCTGCAGCTGAAAAGTTACGACTCACATCCCTTCATGAGGCTTCATTGAGGCTTCAATACATGTTCATCCTTGACTATTAAGACTATTATCACATGGCACTGACAGCTTGGACTCTGCTCCAGCCGCTATTGGACCATGAGCCGTACTGGCAAACTGATGGCAAACTAACGCGAATGCCAGACAAATTGTTGGAATGCTTAACATTTGAAGATGTGCCTATCATTGGCTTTCCAACACAGCAAGGCTGCTGCAGTGAAATTGTTGCAGTTCTTCCGGAGGAGGTCATAGGTCCGGGGCCTTTGTTACAGCTGCAAGAATCACAAAAGCATCCAGGAAGCTGCAAAGGGTTAGCCCAAGACATGCGCTCCTGAATGATCGTAAATGTGCAAGAACCAGTCCGGCGCTCTTTGAGCTGCGAGCTGAAAGTGTTTGCTAAGGGCATCCAGCAAAGCAGTGCCTCCAAGCACACCTCAACAGTCGCAACAGTGTCCAAGGATGATTCGGATGTCCAAGGTAAAAGTGCCCGACCCAGATGGATCGAATCTGCAGAGAGAGAGAGAGAGAGAGGTATGGATGGATGGATGGATGGATAGATGGATGGACAAACTGACAGATGGATACACAAATTAAATAATTATATAGATATGTGTTTGATTTGGTTTGATTTGATTGGATTTGATTTGGTTTGATTTGAGTCGATTAGCTTTAGACTAGATTAAAAGTGGATTAACTTTGACTTAGATTTAGATTTACGCTCGATTTTCGAATAGAAACGAAGAATAAACTATATAATTGAATTGAATTAATTATGCACCAGAAGATGCACAGAGATGGCTGGTCTTCTCTATGGAACGCATATTGGTCATGATGGTTAGGTACAGATATTCCATAATGTTTGACCGTTTTCAGGCCTGAATTCACAGTGATTTTGCAGTTGTGAAAAAATACATCGATTGGTAGACAGACGTCATGGTCTATCCATGTCTATCCAACTTATATAACTTATGTATACTATTGAAATACTTATGTTCTACTGAGTGCTCGGCTTTTTCCGACTTCGACTCTCTCAACTGACCTGAGGTGATGGCTTGTGGGTTGGACCGCCTTTCTTGGTGAACTTTGGTAAACCGGCTTCACACCCTGTGAAAATGAAACTAGTCTCTATTTAAGGCCTCGAAGCCGTTCAAAAGATCTACCACTCAAATACAAAACTACAGATTTCATAGATCTCTGCTGGGGAACGAACATCTTGCTAGACTTTTCATGGAGCGGTTGCCCCAAAATTGCGGAGCTTCTCATAGCAAAGAGGGTATTTGAGCCCTCCGCTGAAAGAGTTGTAGCTCATGGCCACGTCTTGGGGCGCCCACATGCGCTTGTGACTCGAGAGCTTTGGGTAGCAGCGGATCCCACTGGGAGTAAAGTAGTACTCCTGCTTCAATCAGAAAGCACTATGAATACAGGAACAGGCCCACAATTGCAAAAAACCTGGGTACAAAAGAAACTCGTTAGGGCTGACCAACCAGCAATGCTGCTCCTCGCCATCAATTAGAACCTCAAACAGTGGAGACCCTCTCAAGTCCAAGAGTATCAACGATATCAATCCGATATCAAATGTGAGGCATCTTCGAGCCAGAAAGCTGAAGAATGGTAGCCCAGCAGGCCCTGCATGTTCGCCAGGGGTGAGAAAACCAGTTCCACCTTATGCCTGCCAGAAATTCAGAGAAAGCGAACCAGGATTGCAAGAACGAAGGGCTGCAAATTGGTGCTCTTGCATGCTCTGGCTACTGAAGCAAAGCAAAGCCCCCTGCAAAGTTTCTCTGTGTCTTGATGGTACGTATTGGACAAATGTGCTCGGCAGCTGGAAAACAAACGTCACAAGGTTGAAATATGTTAAAATCCCGTGCCAAATTGTTGCACTGTTTGCTTCTTCTCTGGTGTTTCCACGCCCTGCTGTGAAATGTCCCAAATCGACATCGACCTGCTTCCAGGGCAGGTCAATGGCAATGGTTTTGGCACAAATGGTTGCCTGCAAGGCTGCAAGGAGATGAAGGGAGTCTGCATTCCCATTCCCTGCTCCACACCGACCACACTGTACCCTTTCGGACCACCCCCCATCCTGCGTCTCATCCACTTCTGCAAGGTGATCCTGACCGTGACCACCAGAAAATCGATACATTAGCATAGACAGCATAGAATATGCCACACGATAAGGGTGGTGGTGTCTGGAAACCAGACAAAGGATGAACTGATCAATTAGGTTTAATTAATGAATGAACAAACGAGAAAAACGGATGCAAATAAACAAATAAACAAGCAAAACATGTATGTGCGCACACAAATAAGTATGTATATATATATATATAATACATTAAAAACATCTGTGTGTCCGTATGTCTGTATGTCTGTGTGTATGTATGTCTTGTCTTGTCTTGTCTTGTCATGTCATGTCATGTCTTGTCTTGTCATGTCATGTCATGTCATGTCATGTTGTCATGTCATGTCATGTCATGTCATGTCATGTCATGTCATGTCATGTCATGTCATGTCATGTCATGTCATGTCATGTCATGTCTGTCATGTCTGCATGTCTGCATGTCCGCATGCCTGAATGTCTGCATGTATGTCTGTCTGTCCTGTCTGTCATGTCTGTCATGTCTGTCATGTCTGTCCTGTCTGTCCTGTCTGTCCTGTCTGTCCTGTCTGTCCTGTCTGTCCTGTCTGTCCTGTCTGTCCTGTCTGTCCTGTCTGTCCTGTCTGTCCTGTCTGTCCTGTCTGTCCCGTCTGTCCCGTCTGTCCCGTCTGTCCCGTCTGTGTCTGTCCCGTCTGTCCCGTCTGTCCCGTCTGTGTCTGTCCTGTCTGTCCTGTCTGTCCTGTCTGTCCTGTCTGTCCTGTGTCTGTCCTGTCTGTCCTGTCTGTCCTGTCTGTCCTGTCTGTCCTGTCTGTCCTGTCTGTCCTGTCTGTCCTGTCTGTCCTGTCTGTCCTGTCTGTCCTGTCTGTCCGGTCTGTCCTGTCTGTCCTGTCTGTCCTGTCTGTCCTGTCTGTCCTGTCTGTCCTGTCTGTCCTGTGTTTCCTGTGTTTCCTGTCTGTCCTGTCTGTCCTCTCTGTCCTCTCTGTCCTCTCTGTCCTCTCTGTCCTCTCTGTCTTGGCTGTCCTGTCTGTCCTGTCTGTCCTGTCTGTCCTGTCTGTCCTGTCTGTCCTGTCTGTCCTGTCCTGTCCTGTCTGTCCTGTCTGTCCTGTCTGTCCTGTCTGTCCTGTCTGTCCTGTGTTTCCTGTCTGTCCTGTCTGTCCTGTCTGTCCTCTCTGTCCTCTCTGTCCTCTCTGTCCTGTCTGTCCTGTCTGTCCTGTCTGTCCTGTCTGTCCTGTCTGTCCTGTCTGTCCTGTCTGTCCTGTCTGTCCTGTCTGTCCTGTCTGTCTGTCCTGTCTGTCCGTCCTGTCTGTCTGTCTGTCTTGTCTGTCTGTCTTGTCTGTCTGTCTTGTCTGTCTGTCTTGTCTGTCTGTCTTGTCTGTCTGTCTTGTCTGTCTGTCTTGTCTGTCTGTCTTGTCTGTCTGTCTTGTCTGTCTGTCCTGTCTGTCTTGTCTGTCTGTCTGTCTTGTCTGTCTGTCTTGTCTGTCTGTCTTGTCTGTCTGTCTTGTCTGTCTGTCTTGTCTGTCTGTCTTGTCTGTCTGTCCTGTCTGTCTGTCTGTCCTGTCTGTCTGTCTGTCTTGTCTGTCTGTCTTGTCTGTCTGTCTTGTCTTGTCTGTCTTGTCTGTCTTGTCTTGTCTGTCTGTCTTGTCTGTCTGTCCTGTCTTGTCTGTCTGTCTTGTCTGTCTGTCTGTCTGTCTTGTCTGTCTGTCTTGTCTGTCTTGTCTGTCTCTGTCCTCTGTCCTGTCTGTCCTCTGTCCTCTGTCCTCTGTCCTCTGTCCTGTCTGTCCTGTCTGTCCTGTCTGTCCTGTCTGTCCTGTCTGTCCTGTCTGTCCTGTCTGTCCTGTCTGTCCTGTCTGTCCTGTCTGTCCTGTCTGTCCTGTCTGTCCTGTCTGTCCTGTCTGTCCTGTCTGTCCTGTCTGTCCTGTCTGTCCTGTCTGTCTGTCTGTCTGTCTGTCTGTCTGTATGTCTGTTTGCAAGTCTGCATGCCTGCATGCCTGCATGCCTGCATGTCTGCATGTATGTCTATATGTCTTTCTGTCTGTCTGTAACTCTGTATGTCTGTCTTGTCTGTCTGTCTTGTCTGTCTGTCTTGTCTGTCTGTCTTGTCTGTCTGTCTTGTCTGTCTGTCTTGTCTGTCTGTCTTGTCTGTCTGTCTTGTCTGTCTGTCCTGTCTGTCTTGTCTGTCTGTCTGTCTTGTCTGTCTGTCTTGTCTGTCTGTCTTGTCTGTCTGTCTTGTCTGTCTGTCTTGTCTGTCTGTCTTGTCTGCATGCCTGCATGCCTGCATGTCTGCATGTCTGCATATCTCCATGTATGTCTGTATGTCTGTCTTTCTGTCTGTCTGTATGTATTATGTAAGTATGTAATTATGTAAGTATGTAATTATGTAATTAATATGCATAAAAAGGCTCCATGTTTGTCTCCGTATCATGTGCGTAAACATTTACGTATCGACATACCCGTTATTTGTATGCCAGCACGTAGGTGTTGCCAAGTCGGCCAAGCGTACAAGTGTCTGGTGTTTTCTATGTTCTTGCTTGGAGTTGAGGTTTTGCAGCCGAAGCCAAGGGCGGCGAGTGCACAATCATGGCAAGATCCGTGTGGAACAGTTATATACCTTTATTTAACGGAAAAAATTGGAAAACGTACAAACATGCTCTGTCTAAGGTGGACGAGTTCAGAGCATCGTTTGCCACGTGTCTGAGAGGCTCAACTACAAGGGCTGAACATTTTGGCAACAGAATGCTACCGAAAGCTCAAAAGCGAATGGCGGGACAAACGTCACCCAAGGGCAAGTTTGGAGCCAGATCAGCCAGCACGGCATACAGAAAGGATCAAACCTTCTCAAGCGGCCAGGATCCATCGGTCATGAATGTTTGCTGTTGTGAACGCAGAGGGGGGTACTTCGTGGATTCGCGCCACAACACAGAACATGCCTCAGAGTTCACGACCTGCTCATAGAAATTTGCCGAGGTACTCTTGACTTGACTATACTTCTATAACCTGGTTGGTGGTTTCAACCCCCCTCTGAAAAATATCAGTCAGTTGGGATTACTATTCCCAATATATAGAAAAATATAAAATGTTCCAAACCACCAACCAGTAACTGTCTTCTTATATAATTGTTTGCACATCATGTTCTATTACTTCTGATGACCCCAGTCGCAATACTGGGCCCGTCTCCTCTTTGAGCGGTTCACCTTCTTTGACTCCGATTCCTCTGTAGCAAGTGCAAAGAATCTATCTACCCCATGCATCCCCATGCTTTGCCGGAAAGTAAATGTTTTGTCACTTGTTTCATGTTGTTTCTAACACTTCGGTTCCTGCCCACCTTTTGCCGGATCATGGGCACAGGCTAGTCACAGCTAATCACAGCTAATACACAGTACAGCTAGTCTCAGCATCTGGCCGATTTGCATGGATCGCAAGTCAGACAAGGCTGAACCTGTGGGCAAAATTTAAGTGTGACAGTAAGGGGCAGGGTTTGGAACCTTTGCGACTGAAATCCCAAACATGGCAAAACCATCAGGAACAATGAATATAACGAATTGTATATAACAATAATGAATCAAATTGAACAAATCAGGCTTCGATTCTCAGACACCAACAATATGTTGCACAAATTGGATCATCTTGCACGGTGCACACCGACAGTGTGCCCAGGCACTGGGTGGGTGTGTTTCAATGTTTCTCTCGTGTGTTTCTAATGTGTTTTGTTATTCATGTAATTTATATGTATATAGCTATCTGTGTATAGCTCTCCGTATAGATCTATCTGTAGGCGATCATATATATATAGGTAATACACAATATGTACACTATTTTGTTGACGGTTGCTGCCATCATATCATCATTATACTCATCATTCGTGCCTTTTTGACTGCGCTCTCCTATATTTGTATTGAATGTGTGTTCTTGCTTTTTCTGCTTTTAGATCTATATAAGCCTTGACAATTTTCCGCAACAAGCACTTTTGGCGCCCGGAGCTGCACTTGGCGCTGCCAACAATTTTCATGTGCTGCAAATTCCAAAAATGTTCGGCGCATCTGTGGGCTGACTTCTCCTAGGCAAAGTCGCCCAGCTGAAATAAAAAGTCACTGTGAAGCCAAACAGCAGCAGGGCATTTCAACGTCACGTTCCAACAGGACATCAAGCAAGCTGACAGACCGACCTTTCTCATGCTGGTTTCACATGTTCCCTTTCGAAGCACATGGATATGAAAGCGTACACCTTGAAGAGCTGCAAAAAAGAATATAAAGAATCAATAAACGTAAACATTTAGCGCCTGAGCCCACTTGAATGACCTGCGCCAATATGTGTCAATGCAAATGAGCACGGGAAGCTCCCGACTCAAATGTTGGTGAAACATGGTGAAACATGAGGAACAAGACGCACGCTAGGAAAGCGGACCCCACACTCAGATCCCAAACCTGGCTATGCTGATGCTGCTAGAGAACCTTCAAGGAACCTCCTAGAGCACTCTAACCCAAACCCTGCTCTCTGGAATTGGCCCATGCTGCTTGTCAGTTGAAGGAGTGCAAGAGGTTCGACAATCTGATAATCAATGATGATCTATAGAGCGCCACCATGCTACACCGCATTACATCGCCTGGCATCAAGATGAGAATTTTGCTGTGGTGTCTTTGTTTCTCATCAGGCTTGCAGAAGTATGGTGCTTCAATTTTCCTCTTGTTGTTGCCGCAGCTGCCCGTCTACCAGGCTCTGAGTAAAAGTGACTTGAGGCCGACAAAATGGATGTTGCAGAGCGTCGCACAGAAAATACGTTTCTCCTCAAAGAAACATGTCTGGTGAAGGATAATGCGGCACTTCGTAAGTGTTCCCTGGCATGTCATGTTTTGCGGTACTAGTTTGTGGAGTGTTTGTGAGTGGTTGGTTTGCTGTTTTGTTTGACTCTGTTTGGTATCATTGATTTGATTTTGCGTGCTATGTTGTACTGTTTTGGTGCTGGCCAGCCTTGCACTTCCTGCACCTGCCTGCAGTGCGTTGCATTGGTTCATCCATGTGCATCTTTTCCCAATTTTGAGAAGAGTCCTCTCGAGAACAGCAGCTATACAATCCTATACATCATGCTATGTACGAGTACCAGTAGTACCGCACAAGGCGGTGGCGGAAGGTTCAAAAATAGGAAACCTATAGGAGAGGCTGGTTGTTGTGAATGAGGGATGGCAGAGCGAAGCCACTGATGGACCGAAAGGTGCTTGAGGTCTCCTCTCTTTCGCTCTCTTTCTCTGACTATCTACCTACCTACCTATCTATCTACTATGTATCTATCTATCTATCGATCTATCTATCTCTCTCTCTTTCATCTGTCTATCTGTCTAGCTGTCTACCTGTCTATCTGTATATCTACCTATCTATCTGTCTATCTGTCTACCTGTCTATCTGTGGTGCAGCGTCATTCAGTGTAATGTAGTGTAGTGTAGCGGAGTGTAGTGGAATGTAGTGTACTGTAGTGTAATGTAGTGTAGTGTAGTGTAATTTTGTGTAGTTGTAGTTGTAGCGTTGTGGAGTGTAGTGTAGTGTAATGTAGTGTAGTGTAATGTAGTGTAGTGGAAGGTAGTGTAGTGTAGTGTAATGTAGTGTAGTGTAATGTAGTGTAGTGGAAGGTAGTGTAGTGTAGTGTAATGTAGTGTAGTGTAGTGTAATGTAGTGTAGTGTAATGTAGTGTGGTAGTGTAATTGAGTGTAATTGAGTGCAGTGTACTGTAGTGGAGCGTAGTGTAGTAGAATGTAGTGAAGGTGTAGTTGTAGTTGTAGTTGTAGTGTAATGTATTGGAATGTAGTGTGGTGTAGTTGTAGTTGTAGTTGAAAATGCTACAAAACCTTCACGTTTTGGTCACTTTTGACAAGGTGCACAATCCCTTGCGCCTGCCACGCGAAACGACATCTGAACCTCCAAAAATGGTCCGTACATGGTGTGCTTTGTACATTTTGACTTGGAAATGTGCTTCGCGCCACAACGGCGTGCACTTTTTCGACATCTGAACTTCCAAAAGTGGTCCGAGAATGGTGTGTTTTGTACATTTTGACTTCGAAAAGTGCTTCGCGCCACAACGGCGTGCGCTTTTTCAACATCTCAACTTCCAAAAGTGGTCCGAAGCTGGTGTGTTTTGTACATTTTCACTTGGAAACGTGCTTCGCGCCACAAAGTCGTGCACTTTTTCGACATCTCAACTTCCAAAAGTGGTCCGAACGTGGTGTGCTTTGTACATTTTGACTTGGAAACGTGCTTCGCGCCACAACGGCGTGCAATTTTTCATCTCTCATCTGGCCAGCTGGCTCCGCACCCGCCGCTTTAGCGAGCCTACTTTTCGACCCTCCGGGGCCACAAATCACAAATCATTGGAAAAACACAGCATCTTTTCTTCCTACCTTTTCCTACCTTTTCGAGCATCTGCATCTTCTTTCTTCTGACTCTTTCTCTTCTACTCTTCTCTCTTCTAATCTGTCTCTTCTCTCTGACCCTTTCCATCTCTGCTTTTCATCTGTCCATATTGTCGGAAGTTTGACTTCTAAACTTCCTTCGATGATATCTATATTGGAGCGATTGGATTTCTGGGTGCTGCTCTGGCCGCTTTGAATGATACTTGTTTACACTTGCGTCTGTCGAGGTGCAAGTTTGTGCTGGGGAGCTCTTTTAGGCAGGGCTTCTGGCTAGACACTATTGGGACTTTCTTGATGGCGATCGCTGTTGGGCTGCTGGGAGTGAAAAAAAAATAACCGTGGAATGTTTCCATCTGGTAACTTGTCTTTGAATCAGCGTCATCATCTCTGTACTGGCCTTGAATTCAATAGAATGCACCAGTGGTCATCCAACAAATCCACAACTTGCTAGAGTGCAGCACGGGCACTTTTCTGGGCAAGGAGGCTAGTTGCGGCTAGTTTCTCACAAGCTCGCTGCCCTGAGTGCGAAACACATCGCATTACATCCGCCCAGCTACACATTAGGCGAACGCAGGCCTTGAGGCCATTCATTCGGAAGCAAGTACCTGTTTTGCTGATGTTTTTTTCCTGATCGTGTCGTGCTATTCCAATTGATGACATCACTTGAACTTCGAAGTGCTGTGCGCTTCGATAATTCTCTCGGGGCTAGATCTTTAGACACCACTATGTACCTTTACATTTTGGATGTCTGAATAGCCAATAACCATTGGAACTGGATAGAGAATCTAGGCGTCCAACATCATCCAACAAGTGTATATAGAATGATCAATTTCATGACAGGCTCACTGCATATCTCATGTCTCATGTCTGGCACTTGCGCGCTGCGGTGCCAGCTTGGCTGTGAAAACTGATGCGGTTAAGCCAGCACAGCTGCTCCCACAACTAAACCAGCAACAAACAACAAGTTTCGAGAGAATGGAACAACATTATAAAGACAGCTAAGGCAATGAAAAACATTCTCTTCTATATATACCGCGTCTAGACACGTGTAGGCACCATGGCGGTTTCTCGTACTATCTTCCACACATATGCACACACACATTGCCTCTCCATATGCATATGTAATGTATGTATGTATGTATGTAATGTATGTATGTATGTCTGTCTGTCTGTCTGTCTGTATGTATGTATGTATGTAATGTAAGGTTATGTAATGTTATGTTATGTATGTTTGTATGCATGCATGCATGCATGCATGCATGCATGTGTGTATGCCTGTATGTGTGTATGTGCGTATGCGTGTATGTGTTTATGTTTGTTTATGTAAATGTTTGTTTATGTAAATGTATGTATGTATGTATGTATTTATGTATGTATGTATGTATGTATGTATTTATGTATGTATGTATGTATGTATGTATGTATGTGTGTGTGTATGTGTGTGTATGTGTGTATGCATGCATGCATGCATGCATGCACGCATGCATGCATGCATGTATGATAGCCCGTGGTACCGCTCAAAAGGGTCTAGTCCTGGAAAAAAATGCCTTAAATCGTTTGGTCCACAACCTTTTGGAATTGATTTCCAAAGGGTACAACCCAACAGATTTAAGCCAACAACCAAGTTGCAATTTCCCGGGCAAACAAATTAAAATCCTGTTCCACAACCTTTATGTGGACTAACATGTCTCCTGGCCCACCATTGCGCTGACACAACTCTTTTCCTGGGTCATAACCTTTATGATGATACATGTGTACCTACCCCATTCAGATCGTCAAGTCGATTGAATTGGAAGATCACGACCTTTCAAAAACTGCTGAGGGTTTGGCATAAACACTTTTCTTGTCATATAATTCAAATCCTGGGTCACAGGGTTTCCACCGGCTCCATCATTTTTTTGCTCGCATGCTGTCAAGATCTTTCAAGACGGGGAGATGGATGACACTAGGCTTTGGAGGTCCAGAACTGTTTCTCTCTCTCTCTCTGTTGGAAATGACCAGAAATGATGTGTCCTCTCTACATGATTGTTAATCCCCGTCGGTACAAAAACGTGGGGTACAGTCCTAGAAAAAATATCGGTCTGAAATGATGACCCCTAACCTTTGAGAGAGGTTTTAGAGCTTTAAATTCCTGGCTCCTAACCTCTGAAGCCGAAATCTCACTTCCAACCACCTTTTTGAATTTTCTTTGCTAATTTCGTGGTGCCCAACGTCCAACATCCAATAAATTTACCCCTCTCATATCCAAGTAAAAAAAATATTTCCTGGATGCTTGCGTTGGTAACATGCCATATCTTCCCCCCCTCAATCTGATACGGAAAAAAATGAATTCCTGGCACCTGACTTCCCGGCTGACAGCTCGCAGTTTTTCAGAGTCCACGGCTTCACGAGTGCGGTCCGGCAGATGCCCACGGCAATGCACAACCCTTTTGCATGGACAAATGTATCTTCAGGAAAAAACGCCTGTTTTGCAATTTGGCCACACGTTGGAACAAAATTCTTCAATTCGTCCCATCATTTCCTATCTATGGATGGTTGACCTGGTGATGCGATTTTTTTCCTGTGGGGTCAGCCTTTGAAGATCATCCACAAGAATTCGGCCAAAAAAAGGTCCAGCCCCTTGGACTTTATTTTTGACACCTGCGCCTCGGCCTCTTCAAGTCACCTTTTTTTGGTTGGTGAAGCTGAAGATATGTGGTTGTACCCTTTTGCAAGGACAAATGCATTTTCAGCAAAAAACATATGTGTTGTAATTTGCGCGCGCGTTGACACAAAATTCTTGAATTCGTCCCATCATGTCCTATCTGTGGATGATTGGCCTGGTGATGCGACTTTTTTCCTGTGGGGCCAACCTTTGAAGATCATCCGCAAGTATTCAGTCAAAAAAGGTCCAGCCCCTTGAATTTTATTTTTGACACGTGCGCCTCGGCCTCTTGAAGTCACCTTTTTTGGTTGGTGAAGCTGAACATATGTGGTTGTACCCCTTTTGCAAGGACAAATGTCTTTTCAGAAAAAAAAACGCCTGTTTTGCAATTTGGGCACACGTTGGAACAAAATTCTTGAATTCGTCCCATCATGCCCTATCTGTGGATGATTGGCCTGGAGATGGGATTTTTTTCCTGTGGGGTCAGCCTTTGAAGATTATCCCGCAAGTATTCAGTCAAAAAAAGGTCCAGCCCCTTGGATTTTATTTTTGACCCCTGCGCCTCGGCCTCTTCAAGTCACTTTTTTGGTTGGTGAAGCTGAACATGTGTGTTTGTACCCTTTTGCAAAGTCATGTAAAGAATCATACCCCCTCAAGTAATCATGGTACATTTTTTCCTGGGGTTTGACATTTAGATATGTTCTAGTAAACTCCCATTTGATCCATCCACCTTCAAATTCCTGGCTACTAACCTTGGGAATTCTACAAACTTACCCATTATCAGAGTCATTCATGATTGATTTCCTGATGCCTTACATACACAGACTGATAGATCAACCCCCTCAATCACAACAGACAGAAATTGATTTCCTGCCACTGTACGTCAGGAAGCTTTCAGGAAAAAAAAACTGGGCCTTTTTTGGTATGATATTTGATTCCTGGCCCCGTATCATGCCCCTGGACCCTCACCCACTGTCTGCTAGATTTTTGGAAAATAGTGTTTTTTAAAAAGCGTACTGAACCCCCAGGAAAAAAAAACTGGTAGTACAGAGGAGGATATTGTTGAAGAAAACCATACGGAGTTCATAACTGTTCAAAATTAAAATCCAGTGAAGCTATCGGATTCAACCTTTTTACAAACCACTGAAATGCATTAAAAAGTATGATCACAACCTTTATGTAGATCCTACCCTCTCCTGTTCGACAGATTGGCCCAGAGATTTTTTTCCTGTACCCCAACCTTGTTTGGAAAACCATGCAATCCTGGCAAGCAAATCTTCGAAACATATAAAATCCTGTGGTACAACCTTATGTTACTAATCCTGCTTTCCTGGCTCCAACATTTGTTTTCCTGAACCCCAACCTTGCGACATCCATTTTTTGATGATTTTTACCTGACTTGGCATTTTTATTCGCCGAAGTGGAGTCACAGGAAAAAAAATTACCGGTAGCACGGAGGATCATGTATGTATGTATGTATGTCTGTATGTGTGTATGTATGTGTGTATGTGTGTGTATGTATGTATGTATGTATGTATGTATGTATGTATGCATGCATGCACGTATGTATGTATGTATGTATGCATATTTGCATGTGTATATATATATATATATACGCGTACATATATACATATATATATATATATATATAGATATAGATATATATGTATATGATTGTGTATGCGTATTGTCCATGTGTGTGCGTGTGTGTGCGCGCGTGTTGGGCAAACTATTCTCAATACGAACGTTTTTTCCAATCTAGATTGAAAACATCAAGGTGGAACAGCTTACTGCATGGGATTCTCATTTGTACACTCAGAGGTGTCCATCATCTCCAGGCCCCTGCGCAGTGAAGCGACTGGATAAAAGAAATTGAGCGATGATTTATTTCACCATTTCGAGAGTCCACCTTTCTGCTTTCAACACCTTCTCATGCCTCCTTCTCTTTCTGACTTGGACTGTTTTTCCCCTTTTATGTAGCCTTTTCAAACTCGCTTCACCAAACGTTCTGATGCTCTGCTTTCAGGTATTCCCAGAAAAGCGGGCAGTGACGCACTGCTTCAGGTACCCTTGTTGCAAGTTTTGCCCTGACTTGACAGACCTCTTTTGCCCCTGAGGGCCAGCTGATTGCCCCAGGGCTGGTAGCAAACCACTGTTGATTTGCAGCTGCACCTGCAACAGAAAAAACGAGAAAAGGTTTCAGGTTTCTGGAAACACCAAACTCAAGATGCAGCATTGCCGCAGGGTTGGCGAAAAGGAGACAAGAAAATGCGATGTCAACGACATGTTCTTGAATGTTCTTGACATTTAGAAAACGTCTGAAGCCACTCAGGACACGACTCTGTGCAGCATCTCGTACTCCCTCAGCATGCAAATCCAGGCCCACACCCCTGAAACTATTGACCCTGTGTGCCCCCCGCTGAGGAAGGTACGTCTTTTCAAAATAAACCTACCACGACCTACCTAATCTGTACCTCACCTACTATATACTATCTATCCAATCTAATCCCATCATCTTATCTAATCTAGACTAAACTACCTATGCCCTGACCAGCATATATATATAATACATGTGTGTGTATACAGTGTATACATAAATACATATCCAGAGTATATAGGCTCATCTAGTCTTGTCCAATCGAGAAAAAAATTAGCCGCATCACGTCACATCTTGCCTCGTGTGATGGAACTTCATGAATCGATCTAGTCATCTCTCTCTCTCTCTCTATCTCTCTTCTGCAATCTGGTGCTATGTGTCTGTCCGCTTTACTTGCTGTTTGAGCTAGTTTTTGGGTAGCCAACTAGACCCTGGAGGTTTTTGAGTTCGACAAATTGTGTCACGTCAACCGGGCGCAAGTGACTTTGCTTTTGATCTTTGAATCCCTCGTCGCGTGTCTTCGGCTTCAGATGAAGGCGCTTCACGATTGACAAGTTCCATAGAGCCAAAGTAGTGCACAACAGTATCTTATAATTTGTATAATCGTAATGCATCATGTATATTCATTTATACACTAGCATTCTGAGCAGGTTTCGTTTTGGTAGAAAAAGGAGCCACTTTGAAGTTTGAAGAATGACTTGCGTGAGCCAAGTCTAATATCCTCCACTCGCTCAACTGATCGCATGATGTGGACCCCTCAAGTCCCAAAGATCCGTGGCCCGTGGCATTCTGAGGTGAAGTATACACTGCACCGCGACATTGTCCACCCACTTACCGTGCCCCTACCTAGAGAAAGCGCTTTTGTTACTTGCTGTGTACCACTTTTCAGCCACTTGACATCTCTATGATTTCATTCAGATGAACTACATGAGAAGCACAATGGAAAGATGCGACCAACAAACAGAAACGACACATGAGAAACGAAGAAAGGAAAAAAACGAAAGAAAGCACGGATGAAACATGGACAAACGAATGTGGACGGATGGCTTTGCAAGGAGGAGGGATGCGCAGAAAAAGGATAGACAGACTAGCAGAAGTTTGGACAAACAAATGACAAACAAATGAAAACAGAGAGGCGGGCAGCAATGATTAACGAATAGTTTCAATATGATACAACAAAACCCGGATAGAAATATATATATATAAACGGGATGAAGCAAAACAATCAGGCTGTGTATTACTCAGGTGCTCAACAAACAAAACAGCATTAACAGGACAGGATACCGATGGATGGATTGTGACATTGACTTTACTGATCAATTATTGATGGCTTGGCTGATGGCTGGACGCCCTAAACACGTGTGTGTGTGCGCGCACAGTGTGTGAAGATTTGGCAACTTCCAATCTGTGGGTTTTTTCAGATGCTGTCGATGTCTCCAAGTGCCAAGGTACCGGATCTGATTTCGAAAGCCCTCGTTGATGGAGATACAATGCCGTCGGGTCAGCACATAGGTGTGGGCTTGGTCTGATGGAAGATTGAACTTTTCCATCACATACCTTCGCCAATGCCAAACAGTGCACCGACTATGCAACTCGCATTTGTAAAGCTTTAGCAAAAGGTCTCACACTCTCGACAAACATCCTGCCAAGACCTGTAGTGTTCATGACATAGTGCCAACATGATTGCAGTATTCATCAAACTGCATCCAAGAAACGCAACAACAAGTGCGGCAGACCGAGACATGCCTGAGATCCAAGATATCCCTGGATATCCCTGGTGAAAGGTTACCCCTCAATTTCTTCCCCCCCTTGAGGCGCAGTGCTCACTTTTGAATTGGCGTAACTTATCTGACTTATCTGCTGCACGTTGCCTACTCCAAGAGAGGATCTATCTTACCGTTACTATCTTGGTTTGGTGGTGCCAGTGCCAATGCGGGGGAACCGTTCGGAATGGTCGTCTGCGCGAGACTCGGACTGACATCTGCCCGAAACTGCATTGTCTGTATTCAACTGACTATGCCTTGTTGCACTCACAGCTGGCTTCCACATCCCTCAATGTATGACTTGCTGTTGGTTTTTATCACATTGCTTTGAGACCAACTTTGTCCTGGAACTGCACAATGGATACAAACCTCTTGCGGTGAATTCTGCTATGAAGCACACGTTTGCGAAAAACAGTTGCTGTGTTTGGTAGTCCAAAACGAGAGCAATGGCAAAAGACCTCAAAGATCTGAAAGGATTAAAAAGGGTTAAGCAAAACGACACGAAGGCAGAATCTAAACAACATAATCTAACCGCTATGAAACTTGAGAAGGAAGAAACGAAAGCCAGCAGCACAGCGGAGAGGGGTGTGACAAAGGAAGAGATGAAGTGATGAAGTGAGAATGAGGCGGGGAGAGGGAAACTGAGTTACCAAAGTGGTTTCCTGGTTGTCGAAAAGGGGGAAAGGAGTTAAAGGATGTAAAAGGCACTTGTAGAGGAGGGGTGTGCGAGACGAGTCGCAATGCCTTTTCTTCGCTGAAACGATTTCTTTAGAGTGCTACAAGTCATTGTTACATTCGAAGGATGCAGCTTCAGCGCTCCTGGAATATCTTGACACAAGCAGCGAAAACTAGAGAAACCCGGAAATCCAGAACATCCTGGTCCTGACATAAACCCATGAAGTCACAGCTCTGGCACTGTCAAAGCCAGATCCCACAATATCACACTATATGATGGTAAAAGCTACATCGGTTTTCCAGTGCTAAACAAGCCTGCACAAGAAAATGCATGCACTTTAGTAACTGTCAGTATGATACCGTATTCTTGTAAGTGTTCACAGTCCCGAAAAGGTGCATTCAGGGGGCCTAACGCAGTCATGGCACCAGCATTGCCATGAACTAAGATCCGACCACCTCTGGCGAGAACACCATCGAGGAGCTGCTTCACATTTGGAAAGAAGCGAATGATGTTCTCAAAGGGGTTGTCACCTGCATGCATGTCGGAGCACAAAGGGCAAGGTACCGAATAAATCTTCACATATGTTCGAGTGTAAAGTGCGTGCATAGGGCGTATCGTGACAGGATTTATGAATGTGTAAAAGAGGGATTGAGAAATAAATGGATGGGTGGCTGGAAGGGCAAATGATTGACGAATGGATTGATGAATGATTGATGAATGGACAATGTGAATGCGGGTACCTGTATGCATCCTAATATGATATATGCAATATAATATGTATGAGATTGAGTATGTAAGTATGCATGTGTAGATGTACAGTATCTGTGCCTGTGTGTACAGGAACCGACAGAGTCAAGATATGTCAAGATATGTCAAGATTGCCACCCTCAAAGGTGGGACAGGCCTGCAAAGTCCTCTGAAGTGAAGCTGGGGAATTACATGTAACTACTGCATAGTAATGCTACTTTCACAACCAGACTTCCTCTGACCTACTATGACTGCTCCAGCGTAAAGATCCGTTAACCAATTTGCTGAGGTCTGTTTGCTGGGCGTTCTCACGCAGCAACGAACTGCATACCCTCCATACCCTGCATATCTGTAGACAAGCGACGGCATTCCAGCACCTCCAGGATCAAGGAGGCAAATTTCCATGTGATGGCATTCTATGTGAGAATCATTGGGAGAATTATTTGTATAGATACTTCATGAACCTTAATGATTAATCAAAGGAAGTTGGGAAGCAATACTTCCGAGGTACGGACAAATAGAATTCTGAGTCTTGAAATGATGAAGGGTGGTGCGCGATTGACACTTGACCTTGAAGGGTGGTGTGCGATTGAGACTTGACCTTGAAGGGTGGTGCGCGATTGAGAAAGGGTGGTGCGCGATTGACACTTGACCTTGAAGGGTGGTGTGAAGGGGGGTGTGCGATTGAGACTTGACCTTGAAGGGTGGTGCGCGATTGAGACTTGATCTTGAAGGGTGGTGTGCGATTGAGACTTGACCTTGAAGGGTGGTGCGCGATTGAGAGTTGACCTTGAAGGGTGGTGTGAGACTTCACATGACCTTGAAGGGTGGTGTGCGATTGAGACTTGATCTTGAAGGGTGGTGTGCGATTGAGACTTGACCTTGAAGGGTGGTGGGCGATTGAGACTTGACCTTGAAGGGTGGTGTGAGACTTCACATGACCTTGATGAAGGGTGGTTGCAGATCGGATTGAGACTTGACCTTGAAGGGTGCTGCGCGATTGAGACTTGACCTTGAAGGGTGGTGTGCGATTGAGACTTGACCTTGATGAAGGGTGGTTGCAGATCGCATTGTAATGGCTGCATGAATGTTGCATGGGCTATGTTTTGGGGAGGAAGCCGGAGCACGAAACCTTGCGTTTTTCCGTGTAAAGTGGCTGCAGGCGACGATGAAAGGTACCTCGTCTGTGCGGCGGGTGCGGCTGGGGTCGTTTCGTTCCTTCAATGTGTTTTGCAACAATGGTTGTTCCTGTGTTCGTAGTTCTATGTGTGTCTTGAAGCTGTGGTTGCAGATCGCATTGGAATGGCTGCATGAATGTTGCATGCCGTGTGTTGTGGGGAGGAAGCCGGAGCACGAAACCTTGCGTTTTTCCGTGTAAAGTGGCTGCAGGCGACGATGAAAGGTACCTCGTCTGTGCGGCGGGTGCGGCTGCGGTCGGTTTATCGTTTTTTTTTTGGCGCAGTGTAACGGTGGCTTCAAGCTGCTTTGGGTGTCCTTGTGTGTGTGCATAGTTATAGGGTGTTTTGGAATCTGTGCTTGCAGATCGCATTGGAATGGCTGCATGATGTTGCGAGGGCTCTGTTTTGGGGAGGAAGCCGGAGCACGAAACCTTGTGTTTTTCCGTGTAAAGTGGCTGCAGGCGACGATGAAAGGTACCTCGTCGGTGCGGCGGGTGCGGCTGCGGTCGGTTTATCGTTTTTTTTTGCCGCAGTGTAACGGTGGCTTCAAGCTGCTTTGGGTGTGCTTGTGTGTGCGTAGTTATAGGGTGTTTTGGAATCTGTGCTTGCAGATCGCATTGGAATGGCTGCATGATCTTGCATGGGCTATGTTTTGGGGAGGAAGCCGGAGCACGAAACCTTGTGTTTTTCCGTGTAAAGTGGCTGCAGGCGACGATGTGAAAGGGTGTGTGCGACGGTTGCGGCTGCGGTCGGTTTATCGTTTTTTTTTGCCGCAGTGTCACGGTGGCTTCAAGCTGCTTTGGGTGTGGTTGTGTGTGCGTAGTTATAGGGTGTTTTGGAATCTGTGGTTGCAGATCCCATTGGAATGGCTGCATGATGTTGCATGGGCTATGTTTTGGGGAGGAAGCCGGAGCACGAACCCTTGTGTTTTTCCGTGTAAAGTGGCTGCAGGCGACGATGAAAGGTACCTCGTGTGTGCGACGGTTGCGGCTGCGGTCGGTTTATCGTTTTTTTTTGCCGCAGTGTCACGGTGGCTTCAAGCTGCTTTGGGTGTGCTTGTGCGTGCGTAGTTTTAGGGCGTTTTGGAATCTGTGCTTGCAGATCGCATTGGAATGGCTGCATGATCTTGCATGGGCTCTGTTTTGGGGAGGAAGCCGGAGCACGAAACCTTGTGTTTTTCCGTGTAAAGTGGCTGCAGGCGACGATGAAAGGTACCTCGTGTGTGCGACGGGTGCGGCTGCGGTCGGTTTGCCTTTTTTTTTTGCCGCATTGTAACGGTGGCTTCAAGCTGCTTTGGGTGTGCTTGTGTGTGCGTAGTTATAGGGCATAGGGTGTTTTGGAATCTCCGGTGGCAGATCTCATTGGAATGGCTGCATGACTGTTGTCATTTGGTGTTCTGGTGTTGTTATGTGTGTAGATACGTGCAGGTTTGCGACGTGATGCTGCGAAACGCATGGTAATGGCTGCGTCAAGGTTGCTTGGTGCCGCGGCTGCATGCGTAATATTATCGTCTTTTGCAGCTGAAGATTGTAAATCGTATTGGAGTGGCTGCATCCAGGCTGCGACAGTGATTTGTCAGAAGATTGTCGCAATTTTGGCGCTAGTAATTTTCCTTTTAAAACTCCTTTGAAAAAGTGCTTCAAAATCGTCTTTTTCTCGTCGAGATCCGGTTTTGGAGCTGCAGTTTCCGACCTAGTTCTATTGTGCTTTGCAACTCAGTCTCCACAGATCGCATTGTAATGGCTGCGTCAAGGTTGCTTGGTGCCGCGGCTGCATGCGTAATACTATTGTCTTTTGCAGCTGAAGATTGTAAATCGTATTGGAGTGGCTGCATCCAGGCTGCGATAGTGATTTGCCAGCAGATTTTCGCAATTTTGGCGCTAGTAATTTTCCTTTTAAAAATCCTTTTAAAAAGTGCGTCAAAATCGTCTTTTTTCTGCTTTGGCGTCGAGATCCGGTTTTGGAGCTGCAATTTCCGACACCATTGCGCATAGTTCTAGTGTGTTTTGCAACTCAGTCTCTGCAGATCGCATTGGAATGGCTGCGTCAAGGTTGCTTGGTGCCGTGGCTGCATGCGTAATACTATTG